ACTCACACCTCCCACATTCCCAGAAAGAACAAACAATGACAGGGAAAGTTTCCTACTAAAGGTGAGAGACAGGTGACAGACAAGGGCTGTCCTATTTACTTTGATTCTAAAAATCTAATTTTCAATTTGGGCTGGGCAAAAAATGTTTTTTACATTTTTCCTCAAATGGTTGCCTTTATGACTGTGTTCCTCAACAAGGAACGAACTAGAGGAGGAGCCTGGGTCCCAAAGCAGAAGCCAGGGCCAAGGGGTCATAGGTAGAGTCCACATCTGGTCTGGGACTCACTCACTCACTCACTCACAGAGCCCTCTGGAGCATGTTACTAAACCTCTCTGAGCCTCAACTTATTCATCTATAAGATGGGAAAAATAATTATTACCTCAGAAAACTACAATATGGACTAAAGCGTGCGTGCGTGCGTGCGTGCGTGCGTGCATTTGTGTGTGTGTGTGTGTGTGTATGTGTGTAAATGTCACGGTGTACTGTATTAATGACAGACTTCAGGGTGACAACAATGACTTTTTTAGATTCTGCCTAGCTCTAGCATTGATAATAGAAGCTCCACACAGTACAGGCTCGGTGTAAAACATCCCAGCACAGAGCCTCAGGCTGTAAGGCCACAGCAGGGTCTTCCTTCACCAGGGCCCCACTGACAGAATCAATGGACCAAAGACGGAGAGGGAACTAAGGGGTAGGCAAAGGAAAAGGAAAGGGTGGTTATAAGAGAGGACATAGAGCAAAAGACAGAGATAGGAAGGCTCCACCCAGAAACCAGGTGTCCATGGGAGTGGGGACCTACAAGGAAAGTACTTGTGCCACTTCTCCAGCAGAAAATCATCCACAGTTTGGGAGGAGGAAGAGACCTTGGTGCCCTGTCCTGGGTCCCAGGCCCACTGAGTGGACGTGGGTGTGACAGACGGTGAGGCTGAGGGCTTGGTCAGGAGGGAGTAGGCAGGGGATGGGACGTTCTTGGAGGACCGAAGTGAGGAGGTGAGGAGTGGAGGCGGTGGCTGGCTGCTGAGGACCTGCGGTGGTAGCTGGGAGTTGAGGCTGCCCAGAACGTTCAGCACACCGTTTAGCTCACTGCTGATGCGATGAAGGGAACTGCTCAGGTAATGGATCTTGTTGGTATCAGCAGAACTTGGGGTCGGGGTGACTGAAAGAGGCAGATGGTGGGAAAGGATTCAGGATTGAGCTGGCACTTGTATCCTACTGCTGCAGATAACAGGCTAAGGACCTTATGGGAGGACAGATGATGGGTATGGGGCTTCTGTGTCCCAGACAAGAGGCCCAAGGACACAGACAAAAGGAAAAACCAGGTCCTTGACCCAACCACAGGCCAGAGCAGCTGAGAGTGGGTGACAGCAGGAGGCCTGGAGAGAAGAGACCGCAGGGATCCTTGGTTCTTTCATCCTTCCATGGTGCAGAGCCACCACAGAGGACGGACCTCATCCAGACACAGGCTCAACGCAGGGCTTGGAGGATGGGACTGGAATGGCCCCCGCTTTTCTCAGTCTCCACAACACTGGGCTTCATTCCACCTCACCCTCCCTGGCTCCCTTGCATGCCACCACTCACTATGAGGCAGGGGGCAGGACTCAGAACTCTCGCTGCTCAAGTCTTCCATGTCACTGAGATCAAAGGTCACCTTCTTGATGGAGGATCCTTTCAGAGTGTCCTCATCAGAGACCTGACAGGTAGAAGTGGCCATTAGCACTGTCCTTTCCCTGTGTTTTCACTCTGCCTGCCTTGTGGTGAGGACTGAGGCCTGATAAAGTAGCTCTTCTGGGGTCTAAGGTTCTATAGGCACCCCAAGAGAGGCACACCACAAGTCTGCCTAAGTTGAGAGGCTAAGCTAAGAGAACCCAACTGCCTGTGAAGCAGTCCATAGGGTCCCCCAGGACCAGAGCCACCCCATCATCCACCCCTGAAACTAGCCTTGCGGTCTCTCCATTTGAGCACCCCTGCTCCCAAGCTGAAACCTGGGTCATGGAGGAGATTTCGCGCAGTCTCAGGGAAGGAAGAGACACCCCTGATGCTACACTTGGTCACCCCTCTCCTGGAACCATGTAGGAAGAACAGGGCTAGTCCCCAGTTCTGTGACATTCATCAAGAATGCTGTGACTAAGCAGCAGAAGCTCCAAGGATACCCTGAACTGTCAGCACAGACATCAACCACTGAGATGCTTCCACAGGGCCATTGTCTCTGCTATCTCAACTAAGGCCCTGAGCGCTAGAGATCCCATTCTCCCTAATCCAGGCCTGAAGAAATCAAGGCTCCCAGGAGTAGAGGAGGGAGAGACAGAGGGGACGCAATGGGCTATGTGGCCACAGGATGACACCTCTTCCTGTAGAGAAGATTCCAGTTGGTTCAGCTTCTCTTCTTTCTTCTTCAGCAGGTCATGGCCTTTCCGCATGGCTGACTTCATCTCATCCAGGTGCCTGGTCTCCTGTGGCCGGGGAGGAAAAGGAGGAAAAATGGTGCTAGGGTCCAGTTCTGGTATTTGCTGGCTGGGTGGTTGTAAACACATCCCTAGTCCTTAGTCCGGCTGCTCATCTGAGAGAACGGCTACTTTCCCTCAGACCCTGAGAACTAACAGGACAGTGTACTACCTGAGGAACACATGTCCATAGATGCCAAGTTCTCAAGCTGTGAACCAAGTGGTTACCATCACTCTGCTAGCCATTACTATCACCCTTGCCACCAACGAAAGGAATAAACCACAGCAGTGAAAGTGCCCAGGGATAGAATAGACACACCCTGGAGAGCCCATCCTTGTGTCTACAAGCCTCTTGCTATCCGCTGCCCACAAGCTAGGCACTCAGGCCTCAGAGCATGTGTCCCTCACCAGTTCTGGCACCATCAGAATTATAAGGGTTCAGACATGATTCAAGGGAACCCCTGCTACTGAGGCCTCAACTGGAACAAAAATCTGTAACATCATGTAATGATGGCATCTCTGCCTTTTTCATTGCAAATCAGACTGTCAGAGAAGCCAGCCAGGAGAGCTACTCGACCTTACACTGAGTGTATCCAAAGATCTTCTGTCTCCAGTGCACCAGAGCAGCAGAGAAGAGCACTGGACTTGATATACTTTAGACATTGGTCTAAAATATTTCACCTAGGCCATGGCAATGGCAATACAGGTTGAATATCTCATTTCCAAACTGCTTGGCCTCAGAAATACATGAGATTTTGTAGTTTTCAGATTTGGGAATATCTGCATAGACTTTACTGCCTGAATTGACGTGGGGGTTAGGGACCCTCAACCTATATACCTTCCTCATTAAAGATGAGTACTACGAAGATAAAGCAATTTACTATTGGAGAAGGTGTTTACACATGATGTATGGCCATGATGAGGCAGGTGACCCCAGGGCCCATGTGGCTCATCTCAAGAGTTCCCAGAATGCTCAGCTGAGGAAAGTTAGCACCCTCAGACCTCCCAATACAGGCTGGCAGGCTCTCCTCTAGGCTCCTAACCTCATCCAAGTTCTTGCGCACGTTTTCGAGGATCTTGGTGCCTGGGAGGTCTTCATCCACCTCCTGGGCACTAGCCAGCTCATGGCGCCAATGCTGCTGGGCAGCTTTCAGTGCTGTCTGTCGCCTCCGCATGGAACGTGTCTGGCGCACCAGGAACTCCTTCGCACTCTGGACAGCTACACCCTCAGCAGAGAGGAAGTGCCGGACACTGTGGGATAGCAGGGAGCAGGGAAGGAAAACTGAAAACTACACTGAGTTCCTGGGCTACTTCTCCAGCACATGTCCACCTGAACATACAGAAGCTGCTGGACTGGGGCTGAGATATCACTGTTAAATACCCAGAGAGTGTGGCACATGGGACCAATAGTTCACACACTTCCGATTGTGCCTGGGCCTGTACTCGGATAACTAAGCACTCCTAACAGCCTGACCTTCAACTAGAGGCCAGGAGGTGCTGACATGCTGTGTTAAAGGTCACAAATTGTAGGATATTAACTTAGTAGAGACGATTCTTTCATCCTTGGGTCATGCCTTGAACCAAGCCCCACTGGTGGTCATTGTCATCTCAGCTCTAATATAAGTACTCTCTCGTGGCCCAAGATGGGCTAGGGAAACTCACCTGTCCATGGACAGGTCCATCTCCTGCTTGCTCTGGGAGAGAGAAGAGGACACCTCTTGGGTCTCATTCTGCAAACATATAATGGAAAATGCCAGCTGAGTGCAGCAAAAGTAAACATCTCACAGGCTAGAGGAATCCTAAAGCCCTTCCTGGTGTCCTACCAAAGAAACAGCTCTGCCAGCCTCCAGGCACTCTTTACATATAGTTACCATCTGAGTGACGGAGAGGGTGGAGAGGAGGACAAGACAAGGAGGCTAGATCCTAAATAAAGCAGAGCCAAGTTCCTCTCCAAATGTCCCACCTTTCCACCTCCCACCCACAGCCCCATCACTCCCGGGCCTCAGCCCAAGCTCACTGTGCCAAGGGATTTCCTCAGGTCCTCAATGTGGAGATCTGGCTCCAAATGTGGGGATGCATTATTCTCAGCGGCCAGCTCTTTCAACATGTCTTGCTTCCTTTGTACTTCAGCTTCTAGGCTACTGTGTTGAGGAAGAGAGCAGGAGGCATGGCTGTGAGGCCGTGACACTCACTCTCACTCCCACAGGGCAGGGCTGGGGTGTGGACACCAGAACCCAGAATCGTCTCTTTCTTATAGCCTCGGCACTCCATTCCCTACAAAGTGCCACAGAAATGTGCTAGCTGCTTCTCCCTGTGGAGGTCCATGATGAGATGGGTCCGAAAGCAGCAGAGGGGGCCACTGGCAGGAGCAGAGTGCTCACACTACCTCACGTGCTCTGCAGCTGGAGCAGAGTGCTCACACTACCTCACGTGCTCTGCAGCTGGAGCAGAGTGCTCACACTACCTCACGTGCTCTGCAGCTGGAGCAGAGTGCTCACACTACCTCACGTGCTCTGCAGCTGGAGCAGAGTGCTCACACTACCTCACGTGCTCTGCAGCTGGAGCAGAGTGCTCACACTACCTCACGTGCTCTACAGCTGGAGCAGAGTGCTCACACTACCTCACGTGCTCTGCAGCTGGAGCAGAGTGATCACACTACCTCACGTGCTCTACAGCTAGAGCACAGTGATCACACTACCTCACGTGCTCTGCAGCTGGAGCAGAGTGCTCACACTACCTCACGTGAGTCTGCAGCTGGAGCACAGTGATCACACTACCTCACGTGCTCTGCAGCTGGAGCAGAGTGCTCACACTACCTCACGTGAGTCTGCAGCTGGAGCACAGTGATCACACTACCTCACGTGCTTCTGCAGCCTCTGACTTTGTGCCTGCAGCAGATCCACCTGGGACTCCAGTTCCACCCGCCGGACACGCAGGTCATCGATGACCCTCCGCAGCTGCCGCTTTGACTCCATCAGGTGAGTGTGCTCTTTCTTTGCTTCTTCCAGATGCTGATGGGTGGCAGTGGCTTCCTGGGGCAGAGGAAGAGATAAGAATGTTCACAGACCCAGTAGGGAGAAGGCGAGGTGCAAGCAGCGTCAGAAGTGTGGGAGATGGAAAACCACAAAACAGGAGTTGGAAGCCAGAGCCACCGAAGCCACTGTCTCTAGGATCTGGGGTCTGTAGGTTCCTGGTCTCCTAGCAGAGCCCCCCACTGCCCGAGGCTTGCAAGTCAGGTCCACTGGGTTACATGATAATGGCCAGCACAGTCTTAGAACCCCAGGGCCCTGGACAGGACAGGAGAACAGATGGTGGGGGACAAATAAGAGAGAAAGGGTGGGCAAATAGACCTCTTTTTCCAGCGCAGCCTGCCTCTGCACATCCAGGAGCAGTTGCTTCTCTTTCCGCATGTTCTCCTCCTGAAGGGAGAAAAGCCCCAGGCTGACTGTAGACCCCAAGACTGAAGTGGAGCCTGCCCTCTGTGTTCAAACCCACTCACCAAGGCAAGATTGATCTAGCCACTGCCCTCCCTCACCTGGACATTCAGCTGAGCCAGTCTCGCCTTGACATCTTTGGTTCTGGTTGTAAGTTCCACCTCTAAATCTTGTAATTTCCTTTCCTGGAAGAAGCATGATAGAGAGAAAGCCATGGGTGTAGGCAGGGTGAAAGGCATTAGCTGAGGGAGAGGAGAAAGATCCAGAACCCAGTATGCCAAACTCCAGACTCTAAGCTGGATTCAAACTTGCTTCCTCTTTCCCTGTCCTTGCAGCCTTCTGGCATACAGCATGCCCCATCCTGCTGATTCCCAGTGGGGCCAGGAGACATGAACCTGACCACCCCAAAGTTGTAAATGGGCTGACCTCTCCTTTCCAATACTGGGTCTACTTCCAGGCTCAGAAAACAAAGATACCCTGAAGCATAGACATGGCCAGGGGGAGATCCCATTCCTGAAGGTGCCAGACTCTGCCCCACAACTCTTGGATCAGCACCCAAGACTTCCTAAGTGTCACCCCATCCCCCCCAGGACCTCACTTGATCCCGGTGCCGACGCCTTAGGTCCTCAAGCTGCTGGTCCTGCTCCTGCCTCGTGTTCTCTAACTCTCGTTCATGGGCCCTTCGCAGGCGCTCCAGCTCTCCAGTCAAGTGCCCCAGGAGGTCAGCCCGCTGCTTTCTTTCCTGCAAAGATGGTGGGGCCACTGGTGGGAACCTACAATGGGCTCCTAACACCCCCAAAAACAGTCTCCCCAAACTCCTGCTGTGTTAGGTCAGTTAGATCGATGAAGGTCACCATCAGCTCCCCAGATTTTGTCATGAGGCTGCTGTTTCTGCCCTGAAAAGATTGTCTGGATTCCAGTCACCAGAGCAGGAGCCCAAAGGTCCCCCATAGGGGCTGAGCTGTACTACAGTCACACTGCCGCCTGCCCACCATTCATCCCCCAACAGGAGCAAGCCAGCTTGAGTTGGGGTCCACTCAAGTCATGGAACATTCCCACCTCTAGGCTGAAGATGGGTAATGAGACGGTTGCTATTGCTGCCTGTCACGTTGACAGAGCCTACAGTCGTGTAAGAGCCAGGCTCTGGGCATGTCTGTGAGAGAGCTTCTAGACTGGGGTAGCTGAGGTGGGAAGACCCACCCTAAATGTGAGCAGCACCATTCCATGGGCTGAGGTCTCAGACCACCTGAAACAAAACTGGAGCCGAGTATCAGCTCTCATCTCTCTGTTCCCGACTGTGGACACAATGTGGCTGGCTGCATCGAGCTTCTGCCGCCATGCCTTCCCCACCGTAAAGAAAGTATAATTTTACACTGGGCCAAAAGAAACCCTTCCTTCCTTGAGTTGCCTTTATCAGGGAGTCTGTCACAACAACAATATAAAAAAATAACTAATACAGACAGACAATATCCAGCAATTGTTTGGCTATTGTTTCTTTCTTGTTGTCCTGAAATCCCATGCACCCTGGGGACATGGTTTTAAAGTGACTAAAACTGAAAGTTATGGAGTCAGACTGCTTGGGAAGGTAGCCTAAATTCCCCAGGTCTCAGTGCCCTGCTCTCCAAAATGAAGATGATGATGCGTACATTTTTCACGGCTACCCTGCAAACTGAATACAGGAGGATGTAAGGCACTCAGAATAGCGCCTGGTACCTAGTCAAAGCTTGGTATCCATCAGCAATTATTACCATTTAAAGAAAGTGCAGCTACTGTGAGGGAACAAGCACCCCTCATTGGGGAATGGGGGTTTCTCATGCTTCAAAAGAAAAATAGAACAATGTCCTTGTTATTGAGGGATGCCAGAGAAGTAAGTCTCTTCTAACCCTTTTCCAGATCTCACCCTCTCCCCAACTCTGCAGCCAGCTGGGAAGGACAACAGTTGGTGTGCCTATGTTTACATGTGCTGGAAAGGGAGGTGACTGAGCTACCTCAGCTTCATATTGTTCTCTGGCTTCAGCCATCACTTGCCGGTGCTCCTCCTTCATCTTGTCCATCTTCCTCTCATGTTCTCTCTCTACCTCCTGGCGCTTGTCTCGAAAAAGGCTGCTGAGCTGGAAGAGGGTAGGACAGAAGGAACACAGCTTACAGGACTGAGAGCAGACAGGCCTGACGACCTGAAGGTCTCACATATAAAGTGTCCCCAACACACACAGAGCACCCAAGCATGCGTGCATCTGAACTATTAACACTACCCCTCCCTACAAACACACAGGGGCCTAGCAGCACCACAGGTCCTGGCTTTGAGAGAGTGGAGGCCATTCCGGCTAGGCGGCCCAGCAGACCTTAGCAGAGTGACAGACCAGCACTCACCTCTTGCTCATACTCAATCACCTGATGAACCTTCTGATGAGCTCTCTGCTCTGCCCACCCAAGGCTCTCCTGTAACTGGGCCTCCTCTTTCTGCTGAGCTCCCTCTATCTTCTTCTGGAGGCTGGAGACCACCTAAGGACATGCCAGCACACACAATGGAATTAGGCCCTCAGAAGTGGAGCCACCATGCAGGGAGTCACTACCAAGGATTTGGCACCCATCCCAGCAACCTGTCGGGGAAGGAAACTCATTCCCTACTGGCCAAGTGTAGGGCTGAACTCCTGTGCCACCCAGGATGAAGGGGTCTGAGAGCCCAGGCTCTGCCCCCTCAGACCAGGCCACACTCTTCTCACCTCCCGGTGCTTGGCTTCCAGTGAGGAACAGAGCTGCTGCAGCTCAGCACTGTGTTCCTTCTCTAGGCCTGCCACTGCCTGAGAAGAAAAAGCAGAGGGTCTGTGAGAGAAGCAGGGAAGGGTGCTAGCCAGGTACTGAAGCCAGGGTTCTGGAGACCACCTTTTTCTTTGTTAATAAGGGACCAAGTAGAATCACAGGGACACTTTTGTTTTAAAATAATTCAGCCCCTAAAGTCTGCAGCTGGCAGAGGGGTAGAACAAGGCCAGTGTAGAGGGGCCTGCCAGTAAACCTCAGGTCAGTGCTTCCATCCCAACTCTGAACAAGCCCACCGGAGCACACACAAACCTACAGCTGGGAATAAGAACGGCCAGGCCAGGCCAGATGGAGGTCAAAGAAGACCCTCTGGGAACCTGATCTAGATCACTGGGTGTCTAACAACCAAAGCTCTCTCAATGGCCTGTGACTTTGGATGTAATCTGGAGGCTGATGTGACGCTAGAAGGAGAAAGCGTGACGCTAGAAGGAGAAAGCGAAAAGGAGAGAACCTGTGCAAAGGGCTAGTCTCTTATTCCAGATAAGAAGTCAGGGAAAGGAGCCACTGTAGCCGCCTACAGGGTCAGCACCTTGTGTCAAGTCCTCTGGCTCCTCAATAGCAAAAGCTCCCCAAATCCATGGGACACTGACTTATACATCTGCTTCAGAGACCAGGGCCAGCACCTGCCCTGAGTCGAGAAGGTCCACATGATGGGCTCGGGGAGTCTGCTCCCCTCCCTGCACCCCAACCTGGAGCTAGCCCCTCTGCATGCTGAGTCAAGGGGGCAGGCTTGACGTAGCTCACTCACCTCTCTCCTCTCCCCTTCCAGCTGCTCCCTCAGCTGCTGCAAAGACACCTCCTTCTCGGCCTCCTTCTCTGCCCGCAAGGTGGCCTGGGCACTCCTCTCCTCAGCCTCCAGCTGCTCCCTTAGCTGCTCCAGCACCCTCTGGCTTTTCTGTTCCAAACTGGCTCTTTCGGCCTTCTGGAGGGTCTCTGCTTCTTCTCGAAGCCTCTGCAGGGCAGCCTCTTGCTCGGCTCTGAGCAGACAGAATAGAATAGGGATAAGCCCATGCACCCAGGTCATCTCCTCAGGCCAGGCAGCTCCCTGTGTGGACTCACCTAATTTGGTTCTCAAATGCTTCAGTACTAGCCTGCACCTGGGCCCGGAGGCGGGCCAGCCGTTGGCTTTCTTCCTCTCTTATCCGAGCCTCCTCTTCTTCCTCCTCCTCCTCAGCAGCTTTCTGCAGCTGTGCCTTCAGGAGGCTGAGGGAAAAGGAAAGGTCGGCTGCTGAGAGTGACCACAGAGGTCTTTCTTGTATTCAGGACCCATGCCACTCGGCCTCCCTACAAACCACCCTCAGTATTAGAGACCAGTCAACCTGTCACCCATGCTGGTTCCTCACGGACCTAAACTCATCTAGCCTTGTCAAAGGAAGCAAATGCCAGGCTGTTTGGTCCCAAGGCTCCCTTCCACCTACAGGTTATGCTCCTAGACAAGGTATTCACTCAGGAAAGTCACAACCACCCTGAGAGCCAACCTCTAGCCCCACTGCTCCATCATTAGACTCTATCCTAACAAATGTACCGTCATCTCCAGATCTCACTACCCTTTTCTTTGCCCCCTGACTATTGCTCATGCTGGTTCTTCAGCCAAGAATTCCATTTTTCTATCTGACAAAATCACATTCCTTGCCCCACATGCAAGTTCATCAATTCACCTTTCCCCTTACAATCTGCATGAGGGGTGTTGGTGGCGCACGCCTTTAATCCCAGCACTCGGGAGGCAGAGGCAGGTGGATCTCTGTGAGTTCGAGGCCAGCCTGGTCTCCAGAGCGAGTGCCAGGATAGGCTCCAAAGAGAGAGAAACCCTGTCTCAAAAAGCCAAAAAAAAAAAAAAATCTGCATGAGGGCCTTTCTTGGCACAAGCTGCCCTGTGCCATGCATCAAGGTACCTCATAATTACTCTGTTCTGTCAGCTTTCCTTACAAGACAGGAAATTTCTTCAGAGCAAGAATACTGCCTCTTGCCAGGCAGTAGTTGCACACATCTTTAATCCCAGTACTCAGAAGGCAGAGGCAGGTGGATCTGTGAGTTTGAGGCCATCCTGGTCTAGAGTGAGTACCAGGACATTCAGGGCTATATAGAAAGACCCTGTCTCAAAAAAAAAACTGGAAAAAAAAAAAGAATCCTGCCTCCTTTTGGGGAAGGGGACAGGGTCTCCCGTAGCCTAGGCTGGCTTCAGATTCCCTATGTAGCCTTAACTCCTGATCCTCTTGCCTTCGGCTCCCAAGTGCTTGGGATTACAGGTTTATACTAGCAGACCTGGCTAATGATACTGCCTTTAAGTCTTTTATATCAAGAACAGAATATAGTAACAGACATAAAAAAATGGAGCTCAATCAGTGTGTTGGGTTTGCACAGTATCACCTGGTCCCAAACTATGAGCAAGTCTTAAATGTCCATGAGAGGCGCCTTATCTGACCTATGATATCCATCATTTCTCCCGAAGCAAATACACCTCTGCTTTTACAAACAACATCTTTTGGGGTGGGGATAACTCCTCACATAGACTTCACAAGACTAGCGGATGTGTGCAGTGCACCCAGGAAGTTCAACCCTAAGAAAAACATGATGCAGAAGACTGGAAGACAACCTCTTTGAAAAGGTCTACAGCAAATTCCAGAACCAAAACAAATATAGGATTTCCTACTTCAAGTTATTGATACCACTGCTTTCCTGTGTAATGAGAAAAAAAAATCTGAGCAAAGTACAAATCCTTCCTTTTGGACTCCCCAAAAACACTGTCATTCATATATATATATGACAAAATTTACACAGAGAACATGAATGTAGGGCTGATGGGGGAGGGAATTTAGAGCAATCCAAGCTCTCCATTTTACACCTAACAAAAGTACAAGAGCCTGTCTGTCCTCTCATTCAGCTGTGAGGAGGAAGACCCACACCCAGAAATGTCTGTGTGGAAAGAGAAACCACAGTCCCTTGAAGAACTGCTTCAAGAGAGCCAGACAGGCTCTGACCCACAGAGAAATCACTTGGTCATCACTGGCTGAAACTATTCATTTCAACCCAAAACCAAAACCAGAAATGCCATTTAGGGAGCAGCTAGCATGTTCTAGGCCCTGAGATAGTATTTCCAGCACCCTGGTCTCCACAAAAAGCTTAGAGCCCTGAGGAGCTGCCTTGGATGCAAGAGAAGCTGTATCCTAAGGTAAGCCGTTGACTGCACCCTGACCCTTAGTTGGCCCAAAAAGAGGTGACAGAGAGTGAACCCTGGTATAGAGTGCCTGTGTTGGGCTAATGAGAGGTTGAACCTGACCTCCCACTATTCAAATGTTGGTTATCTGTTTTGTTTCCTCAAAATTAAGCACAGATTAGCTATCTATGGTCTAAAAATAGTAACTTTCAATTGCTCTTGAATGTTCTGTCTAAAAGGACAAGCTTTGGCATTAAACTGTCAACGGAGCACATCCACATGTTTCTGAAGCATCTTTGCTGGCCGAGGGCCATGACATGCTGCTTGTTCCCTTCTTGGTAGCCATTCACCCTCCTCTTCTGAGCAGAAGCCTGCTTTTATTCTAGTGCAGAAAAGCTAGCTGAAGGACCACCAATCCAGACTCCCTGGTCACCAAAGCAGCCAGGCCAGAGATGTTTTTCCTGGGTACTCAATATGATACCAGCAGAAGTTTCTGAGAAAGGGTTCTAGGAGCTACTTTGGTGAGGCTGTGGGCATCCCAGATGGGTCAGCACAGAAAAAGGATGCCCCTCCCTTCCTAAACCCCTCCGCGGGAGGAAGAAGACCTGAGGGATTTCTCCTTCTGCTGGTAAAGCCGTTGCACCTCCTCCTCCTCCTCTCGCCACAGCCTCTCTTCCAGCTGCTTCTGCCTCTCTTTCTGCAACTCCAGAAGCCGCCTCTGGTCTTCCTCCAGTTCCTGGTTCACTGTCTCTTCCATGGCCTTCAGTATAGACTCTGAGAACTGCTTTTGGGGAGCTGTAGCCTCTGTGGTTTGCCTGCATGGGGGAGCGGCAGCTTACCACTACAATGTTAGTGCCCACCAAGGTCCCACAGCTACAGAACATCACACAAAAACTCTAATGGGAAGCCCCCAAATAGGTCTCACAGGGGCTGGCAGTAACACACAGTGAGCATCTGTCCTACGGGACAAGCCCCACAGACTGGATAAGGTTCAGGATCCTAGGATGGGGGACAGCCCATAACAGCACTGGGAGGCTGTGGCCTGAGGGGTGGCTCGGGAACTGGCAGGGCAGAGAAGAATGAAGTTCTGTTCCTCATGGGTTCTCCCCTGGAACAGCTCACAATCCTGTCTCCATGTCCCCACTATAGCTCTGCCTGCTACTTAAGGCTCATTTCAGAAACAGGTCCCAGTCTGTTCTCTGCCTCCCAAACCAAGCAGAGGCCAAGGTAATGTAGAAGAACCTCAGATGAAGCCACCAAGTTCCCTGCCTTGTTACCAAAGGATCCAGGTGCTTCCCTGAGCCAAACATGGCTGAGGGGCTTTCATCAGCTCGTGGTTATGTTCATGTCTGGAAATGGTGAGAAACTCTGCACTAACTCAAGTGCACAGAGACAACAATGGCATCAGTTTACTGATTTGTCTAGAGAGTTATGAACAGTAGCATGATAAAGTATTTGACTTCCTTCAAAGCCAGGAGGCATGTACACTCCCGGGTCCCTAAGGCTCACATTCCAGTAGGTCTCAGCACAGAAATAACACACTTTTTACACAGTGCTCAGGCACTACAGACTGGCCATGGCTCAGTCCAGCAGGAGCATGTGTGCAGGACCTGAATCCAAGAACCACTTGAGAGTCAAAACAGGGGAGCCAGCCAGCCCTACTGAGAGCCCTGAAACCCCCTCCCCTCCAGCTCAGCAGTATGGCAGATGGAAGGCAGCAGGTGGGGACAGATCAGAATGACAGAAGAGAAGAGGGTGAAGAATCCCACTGCAGCCCACAGAGACTAGCGAGAGAAAGACAGAAAAGGTTAGTGACATCTCTGAAACACCGTCAAGACCTGTCCTTCCCTATTCCTAAAATCAGAACCCAGATAATAACCCTAAGCCATGCTATCAATTCTCTGCTCCCAACTCCGTCCCCTCCCTCCTTCCATATCCTGGCTTCCAGCTGATGGCAGATATAGCAACATGGCTGCTACCTCCTCTGAGAATATTGCCCTCCACAAGGGCCTCCCCTCCCAGCTCTCTGCCTCATCAACCCTCCAACTCATTTCCAACCTTGGCAGAAAGCATCTTTTTCTCCCAGCGACAGTACCTTTTAATGTCTATCTCCCTTGTGGGCTGCATATCTGTGTGTAGCCCTAGGGACAGATGCTGCAGGAAGATGGGACAGCAGAGCACACTTGCCCAGGCTATATACACCAGTGAGCCTGCCTACACACCTGACACGTAGGCAAATGAGCCTGTTTCCTGCCCCCACCCCGCCCCAGTTTAAAGACTTGGTTATCCTGAACACCTTGGTAGGTCTAAAGCATTGAATGATGTCTAAAGGAGCTAACAGGAAGCTGAGGGCTCTGGAAGAAGAGGTGGGTCTGGTTTCTAGGCCAGCCGCTCAGATATCAGCCTCTGTGAGACCCAGTTTCCAGTCATGGGAAGCAAAGGGGAGGCACCAGGGGAACCTAATCATTTCAAGTTGGCCACCAAAAGCTCAGAGATACACAGGGGTAAGCAGGGTGGGATGGCAGGGAGGAAGGGGTGGTCCCCTGGAGCATTCTGAAGTGGGGGTACTACTGCTAAGCTAGAGAGCCAGATACCCTGACTCTCTGCAGATATACTAGGGACTGAATTTGGTAGGACCTTGCATGTTAGGCAAATAAGCGCTCTACCTCTGAGCTACACAGACAGCCAGCAACTTGGATACATTTACTATTCCATAAATGCTAACAAAAGATGCAGACAATGATGCCTAGTGCCTAATCCTTCAGAATTGGTTACCAGATGCAGAACTCCTGCACCACTCTGGAAAACAACCGATTCCCATTGGAAAAGACTCAAGAAAAGCAAATCCAGCACCTCCTAAGGGTGGGACACCATGAGCCTAGAGGGTCTGGAAACCCCAGAAGGGATAGCATCACTGTGACAGGAAGAAACATGAAGTCAGGGTGCTTGCAGCCAAGGTGTCTGGAGAGGAGCTAAGCTGAGCCTCTGGCCTCCCTATAGAGGTCCTGGGACCACCTCCTGACCTCTACCTAGCTTCCTCTCTCTGAGCCCACTCAGCTCCTCTCCCCATGAACAGCACCCTGATCCATTGGGCCACAGTCTCCCAGGAGACCTGAGAAAGCCACATTCGTCACTGTAAGATAGCTCAGTGTCTAAAAAAAAAGTGGTTGCTGCATGCCCACGTGACACCAGCAGGGTTAGGGTGATGAGATGAAGACATGAGATAATGAGCTCATTGGCCTGGGCAGCTCTCAGTGAATCACCAGCAAAAGGACTGTCTGCTCAACAGCCCTGCGTCCTTTGTACCCCTCATTCACTGGGGAAGCCTGGCACAGCTACCTCAGGCCTACAGTCAAAAGTCAGGACTCTAGTGGGCAAGTCTGCTCTCTCTGTGACTCACCAACAAGCTCCCCTCCCCTCCACCCCCCCTCCCCCCGCCACCTCAGATCCCATTTCCTTTCTAAAACATTCCATATTTGTTTTAAGAGAAAACTAGTGCTTGGTGGAAGAGAACATACTTCTCCTGGTTCCTGGTAATGAGCCACCAGGTTCCTCTCACCCACCCTCAGATCTGGCCAGGGTTAGTGATGGCTGGTGGAGCTCTCAGAGCTGCACAGAGAGCACCGAGGATGCATTCACCCTTCACTCCATTGCTTGCCACCACTCAAGGGGAATGGGCACTCAGGCAGTCCACACACTGGGAGACAGGACAGACACATAAAACTGGCCCTTACACCTCTGGAGAGACAGGTGAGGTGGGACTGACTGCCACCTTCTCCTCAGGCTCCTCAGCCTCTTGCTGCCCAAGGCCCAGCTCTTCGGCCTGGGAGTGCTTTTCCTCAGCCCTCTCAGGGAAAGCAGGTGGGCTCAGGACCTGCTCCCTTGCAAGCAATAAAGAAGCAACTGTGTTAGAGCTGGTAGGAAGTGAAGGGCTCAGCTTAAAGAACTGTGGTGGAGACAAGGAGGGCAGCCCCAGGGAAACTTCCCTACCTTATTCCCTAATCCCCCTCCCTCCCAGCCTCTTCTATTGTCATTTGAAGTGAAGACCAGATATTCCCACCCGCATGGAAAGAGAGGGTCCTACCACCCCCCCCAAAAAAAAAAACACTGCACACAGCAGGTGTTCAATGGATGCTGTTGACTGAACATTCCTACAGTTCAGCTTCCCCTGTGGCTCATTCCAACTGTTTGAATCTTAAGACCAACAGCATCTTCTTGCCAGGAGAACAGCGGCACTGGCAAATACACCCCGGGCTCTGGACCAGGCTGGGGCAGAAAGGTCCTTCCAATGTGGCTTAAGGAGGTCCAGCCCCCACCCCTGACCCCACACTGCCCTCTGGCTGGGCTTGGAACAAAACACTGCTCTAGCTCAGTTTGTGTGAGACTAGAGGTGGGCTGATGCCTGGTAAGAAAACGCTGATGAGAAAGGAGCTGAAAGGGGTCCCCTAGCAGGAATGTAGTTCCCAGAGCAATAGCAGTCTGCCCTGGCAGGAGACACACTCTTAGTCAAGACTTCCTATGGCTCCCCCGATCAGGCTGACTACCCTAATTTCAGCTGTAGAGTGACAACTATGAAGAAGCAGATCTCCACTTCCCCACCCCCACTCCCACCCAAACCCCAGTATCTGCTACCCTGCTACTGCTACTTTGGCTGCAGTGTCTACAACAGCCCTCATCCCCATCTCCAGGCCCACTGTTCCTCACTACCACAATGACACATGGAGAGGCCACCACCCTCAGGGACCCTTCTTCCTCATCCTTACCTCTGGAGAGGGGGCAGTGGGGTGGGGCTGGCTACAGAGTCCTTCCCAGGCTCCTCCTCTGCATCCTTCCACTCGGGCTGCCCTGCCAGGGGCTGCAGAGGCCCTTCCTCAGTGGCCTGGCTGTGAAGGGTATCCTGGAGCTGCTCCCTGGACAGAAATGGAGAATGATAACCCTGGTCAGGGCAGCCAGAGGCACAGGGTCTGGCCTTCACTTGAAAAGCGAGACGGGAGCATTCAGTGCGCGGGTACAGTGTGCACCAGCCCTCCTCAGCTGCACAGGAGTCGCCGCACCCCACACCTACAGCAGCTTCAGACATGGCAGCCACACATGCAGACAAATGCCTTCCCCTCCCCCTCCTCCTCGGCTCCCTCCTGCAGGGTTACAGCTGTGCTCTAGGTCCAGCAGCTGCACACCTTCACATGTATGTCCATTCCCAGAATTCACCATCACTGAGGCCAGGGAGAGATGAAAGAATTAAGGGGAAATGGAGAAAGGAAGGCCTGGAGAGATGGCTCAGTGGTTAAAGAGCAGGTACTGCCCTTCCAAGGACCTTAATTGGATTCCCAGCACCTATGTCGGATGGCTCATATCTGCCTATAATGCCAGCTCTAGGGCATCCGACACCTCTGGCCTCTGAGGGCACTCACATTCATGAGTGAATGCATGCACATACAGAGACACACACATACACACACTTAAAAATCAAATAAAAAAATTTAATGGGTATGTGATAGGTAGGTTTTTAGTTGGGGGAGAGTGTTAGGGGAGGACGGAAGGGAGAAGGGAACTGGGATTGTCATGCAAAACAATCTTGTTTCTAATTCAAATAAAAAAATGATAAGACAAAAAAAAATTTTAATGGGCAAGGACAGGTTGGAGAGATGACTCAGTGAAAAAGAACACCTATTCTCACTCGGGTTCAATCCCCATCACCCACATGGACGCTCACAACCATCTGTAACTCGAGTTCCAGAGGATCCAACAATCTCTTTTGACCTCCTCAGGCACCAGGCACACACGTGGTGCACAGTCATACATGCAGGCAAAACATCACACACATAAAATAAATCTAAAAAATAAAAAAATAAAAAAAAAATGGAGAAGGGGATGCCACACTCAAGTGGTCAGACGGTAGCCAGTGCAGAGAGCATCATTGAACACAGCAAAGAAGGAGTGCATACAACTTTCTCAGATCCCAGAAGAGATGACTACTAACCTTCGTTTTCTTGGATGGCAGCCCTCCTCCTTTTATGGGGTGAGGCCAGAGGAGTATACACACATAGGTGGGGGGGTGGTGTCAGAGAAAGAGAATCTGCACAGCCACCTCTACCATCACAGGCAGGGGAACCTAATCATTTCAAGTTGGCCACCAAAAGCTCAGAGATACACAGGGGTAAGCAGGGTGGGATGGCAGGGAGGAAGGGGTGGTCCCCTGGAGCATTCTGAAGTGGGGGTACTACTGCTAAGCTAGAGAGCCAGATACCCTGACTCTCTGCAGATATACTAGGGACTGAATTTGGTAGGACCTTGCATGTTAGGCAAATAAGCGCTCTACCTCTGAGCTACACAGACAGCCAGCAACTTGGATACATTTACTATTCCATAAATGCTAACAAAAGATGCAGACAATGATGCCTAGTGCCTAATCCTTCAGAATTGGTTACCAGATGCAGAACTCCTGCACCACTCTGGAAAACAACCGATTCCCATTGGAAAAGACTCAAGAAAAGCAAATCCAGCACCTCCTAAGGGTGGGACACCATGAGCCTAGAGGGTCTGGAAACCCCAGAAGGGATAGCATCACTGTGACAGGAAGAAACATGAAGTCAGGGTGCTTGCAGCCAAGGTGTCTGGAGAGGAGCTAAGCTGAGCCTCTGGCCTCCCTATAGAGGTCCTGGGACCACCTCCTGACCTCTACCTAGCTTCCTCTCTCTGAGCCCACTCAGCTCCTCTCCCCATGAACAGCACCCTGATCCATTGGGCCACAGTCTCCCAGGAGACCTGAGAAAGCCACATTCGTCACTGTAAGATAGCTCAGTGTCTAAAAAAAAAGTGGTTGCTGCATGCCCACGTGACACCAGCAGGGTTAGGGTGATGAGATGAAGACATGAGATAATGAGCTCATTGGCCTGGGCAGCTCTCAGTGAATCACCAGCAAAAGGACTGTCTGCTCAACAGCCCTGCGTCCTTTGTACCCCTCATTCACTGGGGAAGCCTGGCACAGCTACCTCAGGCCTACAGTCAAAAGTCAGGACTCTAGTGGGCAAGTCTGCTCTCTCTGTGACTCACCAACAAGCTCCCCTCCCCTCCACCCCCCCTCCCCCCGCCACCTCAGATCCCATTTCCTTTCTAAAACATTCCATATTTGTTTTAAGAGAAAACTAGTGCTTGGTGGAAGAGAACATACTTCTCCTGGTTCCTGGTAATGAGCCACCAGGTTCCTCTCACCCACCCTCAGATCTGGCCAGGGTTAGTGATGGCTGGTGGAGCTCTCAGAGCTGCACAGAGAGCACCGAGGATGCATTCACCCTTCACTCCATTGCTTGCCACCACTCAAGGGGAATGGGCACTCAGGCAGTCCACACACTGGGAGACAGGACAGACACATAAAACTGGCCCTTACACCTCTGGAGAGACAGGTGAGGTGGGACTGACTGCCACCTTCTCCTCAGGCTCCTCAGCCTCTTGCTGCCCAAGGCCCAGCTCTTCGGCCTGGGAGTGCTTTTCCTCAGCCCTCTCAGGGAAAGCAGGTGGGCTCAGGACCTGCTCCCTTGCAAGCAATAAAGAAGCAACTGTGTTAGAGCTGGTAGGAAGTGAAGGGCTCAGCTTAAAGAACTGTGGTGGAGACAAGGAGGGCAGCCCCAGGGAAACTTCCCTACCTTATTCCCTAATCCCCCTCCCTCCCAGCCTCTTCTATTGTCATTTGAAGTGAAGACCAGATATTCCCACCCGCATGGAAAGAGAGGGTCCTACCACCCCCCCCAAAAAAAAAAACACTGCACACAGCAGGTGTTCAATGGATGCTGTTGACTGAACATTCCTACAGTTCAGCTTCCCCTGTGGCTCATTCCAACTGTTTGAATCTTAAGACCAACAGCATCTTCTTGCCAGGAGAACAGCGGCACTGGCAAATACACCCCGGGCTCTGGACCAGGCTGGGGCAGAAAGGTCCTTCCAATGTGGCTTAAGGAGGTCCAGCCCCCACCCCTGACCCCACACTGCCCTCTGGCTGGGCTTGGAACAAAACACTGCTCTAGCTCAGTTTGTGTGAGACTAGAGGTGGGCTGATGCCTGGTAAGAAAACGCTGATGAGAAAGGAGCTGAAAGGGGTCCCCTAGCAGGAATGTAGTTCCCAGAGCAATAGCAGTCTGCCCTGGCAGGAGACACACTCTTAGTCAAGACTTCCTATGGCTCCCCCGATCAGGCTGACTACCCTAATTTCAGCTGTAGAGTGACAACTATGAAGAAGCAGATCTCCACTTCAGCTCCCACACTCCCACCCAAACCCCAGTATCTGCTACCCTGCTACTGCTACTTTGGCTGCAGTGTCTACAACAGCCCTCATCCCCATCTCCAGGCCCACTGTTCCTCACTACCACAATGACACATGGAGAGGCCACCACCCTCAGGGACCCTTCTTCCTCATCCTTACCTCTGGAGAGGGGGCAGTGGGGTGGGGCTGGCTACAGAGTCCTTCCCAGGCTCCTCCTCTGCATCCTTCCACTCGGGCTGCCCTGCCAGGGGCTGCAGAGGCCCTTCCTCAGTGGCCTGGCTGTGAAGGGTATCCTGGAGCTGCTCCCTGGACAGAAATGGAGAATGATAACCCTGGTCAGGGCAGCCAGAGGCACAGGGTCTGGCCTTCACTTGAAAAGCGAGACGGGAGCATTCAGTGCGCGGGTACAGTGTGCACCAGCCCTCCTCAGCTGCACAGGAGTCGCCGCACCCCACACCTACAGCAGCTTCAGACATGGCAGCCACACATGCAGACAAATGCCTTCCCCTCCCCCTCCTCCTCGGCTCCCTCCTGCAGGGTTACAGCTGTGCTCTAGGTCCAGCAGCTGCACACCTTCACATGTATGTCCATTCCCAGAATTCACCATCACTGAGGCCAGGGAGAGATGAAAGAATTAAGGGGAAATGGAGAAAGGAAGGCCTGGAGAGATGGCTCAGTGGTTAAAGAGCAGGTACTGCCCTTCCAAGGACCTTAATTGGATTCCCAGCACCTATGTCGGATGGCTCATATCTGCCTATAATGCCAGCTCTAGGGCATCCGACACCTCTGGCCTCTGAGGGCACTCACATTCATGAGTGAATGCATGCACATACAGAGACACACACATACACACACTTAAAAATCAAATAAAAAAATTTAATGGGTATGTGATAGGTAGGTTTTTAGTTGGGGGAGAGTGTTAGGGGAGGACGGAAGGGAGAAGGGAACTGGGATTGTCATGCAAAACAATCTTGTTTCTAATTCAAATAAAAAAATGATAAGACAAAAAAAAATTTTAATGGGCAAGGACAGGTTGGAGAGATGACTCAGTGAAAAAGAACACCTATTCTCACTCGGGTTCAATCCCCATCACCCACATGGACGCTCACAACCATCTGTAACTCGAGTTCCAGAGGATCCAACAATCTCTTTTGACCTCCTCAGGCACCAGGCACACACGTGGTGCACAGTCATACATGCAGGCAAAACATCACACACATAAAATAAATCTAAAAAATAAAAAAATAAAAAAAAAATGGAGAAGGGGATGCCACACTCAAGTGGTCAGACGGTAGCCAGTGCAGAGAGCATCATTGAACACAGCAAAGAAGGAGTGCATACAACTTTCTCAGATCCCAGAAGAGATGACTACTAACCTTCGTTTTCTTGGATGGCAGCCCTCCTCCTTTTATGGGGTGAGGCCAGAGGAGTATACACACATAGGTGGGGGGGTGGTGTCAGAGAAAGAGAATCTGCACAGCCACCTCTACCATCACAGGATCTCTCCTTCTCTCTCTCTCTCTCTCTCTCTCTCTCTCTCTCTCTCTCTCCACTGCCACCTGTACCATCACAGGAAGAACCCTGGCTCAGAACACTGAGCTTCAGTACCTAAGAGCATGGTGCTACAGACATCCAACAGGCCACTTCAGCCCTGGCTCACATCCAGATACACACAGCTTAATGCAGCTTAATCAGCCCAAACCAATAAAGAGGACAGAGCCCTGGACTCACCAAAGAGCCATGTGCAAAGTCCTGCCAAGCGACACTTCACACCCCGTCATGTTACACCACCACAGGCAGGGTTCCTCCCACCCTGCCCCCACACCACATACACACACCTTGTACTGCCATCCAGCCAGGTCACCATCTGTCTTCCAGCAATGGCAACCATAAGGACCAGGAATTCTACCCCAACCCACACCACCCTGAAGACACAGAATGCCTTGGATCCCCGAGGCAGCCTCCCATTGTACCTCTCAGAGACTTGGGAATGCTTGCTCTGTGGCTCAGCTCTGCTGGACTGGCTGTCATCTCTCTCTTCCTGGCCTAACCCCTGGGCCTGCAAGCAAGAGACCAGGGGAGAAATGCATTAGAGGGAGATACACTGCAAGGGTCTCTTATCCTGATGAGTCAAAGGCTCAGCAGGCATACTATGGCATGTCTTAAGGGGACAGGAGCCACTGAGACACAGAACATGTCTGCCGACTGTAGAATGCAGCTTCCTAAGCTCTAGCTAAGTCCCTGGCCCACATATGGAACAGGAGATAAACAAATACGCTCATTACAAACATAGATAGGAGCCAGAGGCTGGGGGAGAGCAGGGGACCTGAAAGCCTGGCCTGCTGCCTGGAGCCCATACTGCTAGCTGCAAAGAGAAGGCAACGATCTCCATGGACACCCTAAATTTACTGAGGCCTGGACCAGTGGTACAGGGGTGCTAAAATAAAATGGGCAGACAAAAGGCAGTAGGTAAGCACACCAGAAAGAAAGAATCCTGAAGCACGAGGATCTAGGTGGAACAAATGAGGCTATTGCCCCAAAATGGAGGGTGCCGTCTGACTTTGGAGGAGGGCAGCGCATCCCTTCCACTGTTCCATTCTAGGACATAAACCCCATCAGCAGACAATGAGCCCCCCTTCACCTCACAGTCTGGTATTACAGCATCTGTTTGAAAATAAACCCCCAAATCTTATTTTACATCTTGGGTAGCTAGGCAAATTTAGCAAGCTGGTTTAAAAAAAAAAAAAAAAAAAACAATTTCTGATGATTTCAAATATTTCCTAAAGAACTGTAGTGATGATGTCAGCCTGGGTTCATTCTTTGTTCCAGAACATCCTTTCTCAAGTGCCTCCTCCCTGAACTATGGCATAGTAAAGCTCAGCTCCCAAGGCTTTGGTAAGGGTACAACGACCTACACATAAGCATAACTTCTGCCAAGGAAGGCAGGCCATAACACCAGCCTCTCCTCTCCCATCTTCTCCCTCAGCCTAAGACAGAGAGAAACAAAAAGCTCTGACAGCACCAGGCCCCACTCTAAGACTAGCCCTCCTGACAGGAGAACTGTCTGCTCTGGGACTCGGAGGTCACCGGGAGAGGTGGGGCAGGAGACAGATCACTGTCTTCCCCAGTCGGGTCCCAGTCCTCTGCCCCCTCATACACACAGTTCTCCTCTAGCAGCCCCATTTGATCTGACTCTGCCATCTGGGTAGATAAGAAAGAGCAAAACTTACACGAAAACCCAGCTCCCAAAATTACATCAAAACTAGCAACGCGGCCTGTGAGTACCTCTCAGAGCCTAAAGCAGAGGGCTCCCTGCCAGGGCTGCCACTCCTCGTTGCATCAGGCTGGGCAGAGCCTACACACCAATGATGGGCAAGCACACCCTCCCCACCCCCCATCTCACTCTCCTTTCTAGTGCTCAGCTCACCACGAATCTTCCCTGCAAACCACCAGCCATCATCCTCTTATTCCCACGTTTTCAAAGACAGAGAGAGCACACAGACCAACTGCACTTCACAAACTAAAATGTAAGTAACAAAACATGGTTCCTGCAATAAAAACTCAAAATGAGCTCAAAGCCACAAAGGACTCTGGGACCATGAGGATACAGAGGCAGACTGGAGCCGACCACAGACCACATCATTCTGTCTTCCCCCTTCTTGCTTCATGTCCTGTACTTTTGCAACAAACTGAAGCAGCATCCTGGTAGAGAAGGGATAACATGGGGAAAGCCAGACAGCAGGTCTTCAACAGGGTTTACTTCTCCCTAGAACTTTTGTCCCAGAAAAGAAAAAGGGAAGCCTGAGAAAGGATGGGTGTGATGGCACTCTTTAGAAAAGAGAGCAAAACAAGCACTTAGCAATGCTAACCCTCTGACCCAGCATTTCTCAGGACCCCAGCCTTACCTCAGCTCCCGAGTTTTGTTTTTAAGATCTAGTCCCCAGGTGGGAGCAGGAGGGTTGCAAGTCTGAGACAAGCCTGAGCAACTTAGATGGCTATTTTTTTTTAAGGGCAGGGACCAGGGTGCTGTGGTAGCTAAGTGGTAGAGAACTCACCTAGCATATACAAAGCCCTATATTCATTGTTCAACAATGGAAGAGGGGATTATTATCTTGACTGCAATGATAGTTTCAAAGAAATACATAGGGCAAAATGTATCAAACTTTTCTCTTTAAAAATGCAGTTTATTATATGTCACTTACATGTGAAACTGTATCATTTTCTTCCAGTGTTGGGGATGGAATCCAGGGTTTTACATGTGCCAGGCAGGTGCTCTATCACTAAGCTACATCTCTAGTCCTCAAGATAATTCATTCTAAGGCTCTCCCTGTTCCTAGCCTTGGGATCGATCATCAGAAAGGAAATGAGGCTACAGCCCCAGAGGACAACAAAGAAGACTGCACCTATGCTTCTGTCCATGCTGTGAAGCGGCTGCTGCTCCCTCCTGCGGCCCCACCCTCCCACAACCTGGGAACAAGAGACAGCTGCAGGCTGGGCCCTGTCAGAGGTGGGCACTGCTGGTCCATCAGTCAGATCATCTAGTACCACCCATACTCCAACACGATGGCTAAGGTACAAATTAGACCTTCCTCTGTTGGGTTAGCTGCCAGTAGGTGGTGGCTGCTAAGAACTAAACCCAAGCCGATCCCTGACCCTGCTCTATGCCAGATGGTAGCAGCCAGAAGGGACTACTGGCCTCATTAGGGCTCAGGTAGTCCCTGAAATCTACCTTCTATAAAGCTCCCCAGTAAGTCAGGTAGCAGTGAGGTTTTGGAGGCACAGCCCTTGAACCCACCCTAGTGGCTTTCCTACACGCTTGTTACCAAAGGGGCCTAACAGCTTCTCGCTCCAAGCCCTTCCTGCCTAACCCTATCTGCCCTTCTCCATGCCTTTGTATCCTCAGTACTGCAAATGGGTTATCCAAAGTCTAGCAGAGACCTGGTAACTGGGTAGCCATCCAGGAAGCAACCAGCCAGACCCGAGAGGAACTTATGGGGCTCAAATGAAGTCTGAAAACATGGGCTCCCTGTATGCACCAGCACATACCATGATGGGTTCATATTAAACATCCTGTTGTTTCACCCAACTGATTCCCATCCACTCAAACCTTAAACTCTGCAGAGACCATATGCCAGAATCCCTCCTCTAGCAGCACACGAAGAAGAAAAACAACTGCCCTGACTTAAGCCCCTTTTAGGGCAGCATCTGTGTTTCAGGAACCTTTGTACCTTCCTGCGTGGAGGGAGGCCAGCTTACATCTAGCAGAGGAGACAGACAAAACACTGTGAGAGAAAAGTAAGAATCCTGGGAGCAGAGAGGGGACAAGTCACCTCCTCCAAGCCGGCACCAGAACTGGGTCTTAAAGCCTAAAGAAGAGAATACAGGGGTCAGAGGGGAAGCAACAAGGCTGGCAGAGCAGCCACAAGGCGCAGCAGGTACAGACCACTGGCAGAGCTGGAAGGGACAGGTGGACAGGTGGTCAACCCTCAGTCACTGTATGAATAAACCGACATGAGACAGGGCAGGAATGTTTCGGACGAGACTGGGTGCATTCAGGGTGGTATGGTGGTAGACAGGCAGGAATGTTTCAATGCATAGCAGCAACAAAGCAGTCACGGCCAGAAGCTCCATCAGAGGCAAGTGTCTGGAGCAAGAGAATGTCTGGAGCAAGAGAATGTCCAGAAGTCCACACTGATGAACAGGAGTCATCTAAAAGTAGCTGCCAGAGAAAGTGAGGCCCTAGCCTAGCCCACCCAGACTCACCTCCCAGTGGGCTCCACCCAAGACTGGAGAAAACATGTCACCATCCAGCAAGTGCTCTGAGATCCGGCTGCGAAATCCAAAGTCCTGGAGATGGTAGAGATGAGAAAATCAGCTCTGCCCTTGTCACGGTCAGTGCTTACCAACCTTTCAAAAAGGTGTGCAGTGTCCTAGGCACTGAGCTCAACACTGTGACATCTAATTAAGTTCTCAAAGCAGGCAAGATGATGAGGGAAACAGAGCCAAGCATTCCCTGTAGACACTAAGTGGAGAGCGTGAAGATTCACTACAAAATTCTTCTGATCTGCTGGGTGCTGGTGGCGCACGCCTTTAATCCCAGCACTCGAGAGGCAAAACTGGCAGATCTCTGTGAGTTCGAGACCAGCCTAGTCTGGTTCCAGGTCAGCCTCCAAAGAAACAGAGAAACCCTGCCTTGAAAAAAAAAAAAAGAAAAGAAAAGAAAAGAAAAGAAAAAATATATATATATATGATTTTTTTCTATATATTTAGCATTTTTCATAATAAAATTATACACAAAAATAAACCTGTAAGACTGAAATGCTTATACCCTCGTGGATGCAGCTGCAGGCTGTAGAGGACACGAAATTTGGCCAGAACAAAAACTGGTAACAAGGGGGCTGCAGATCAGATGAGCCCCAGGCCTGATTCTTCCTAAGACACATGCTATACAGCATGGCTCCTCCCAGCTGTCTCCTACTCCCCACCCATCCCATACCCAAGCAGGGCAGAAGTGCCAGCAAACCCAAACCCATGGGAGGCTTGGAAATGATGCTTGATGGGCTCCTTCCATTTCATTCCTTCCATCTTCCCATAGAGGTGGCCCCCTCTCTCTCTAGACAATGGGAATCATTAGCAGCGATTTGTCCACAGAGTCCTCCTGGAGACACGCAGCAGGTGTCCACACCAAATCCAATTCCTCATTGCCCTTTGCCTGCCACAGGACCACACCACACCCCTTCTGAGCCTAAGATCCTGCTGGGTTAAGTGAAGGATTGCTATCTGACAGTATTCTAATGGGGACAGTTCTGCCATCCCTGATGGATGGCGGGATGCCCAGAAAAGGTCTGATCCTGCTGTCTCCAGCTTCCTCCCTTCCACTCCCAGAGGGAAGAATGCTGATGGGCACAGCAGCACACAGTGGCAGCTTTGGAAGGAACAGACCACTTGTTTCCAAGAGTTCAATGAAACACAGTTATTCATCATTTTCAAGTGTTTAGTTGGCTAAATGGGTTTTTTGTTGTTTTGTTTGGGGTTTGGATGAGTTTTGTTTTGTTTTGTTTTTTTACCAATAATGGGTTTTGTTTTTGTGGGGTTTTGTTTATTTTAGGGGTTTTTTTGTTTGTTTGTTTGGTTGGTTGGTTGGTTGGTTGGTTTTTTTCTTTGCTTACCTTTTTTAGCCTTTCTAGTTTCTGGGGGTTTGCTGGATTTTGATATTTTCCCTTCAGTTTGATTTCTGCTCCACCTAATGCAGCTGCCATCTGCTTCCAAAGCCCACAGCTCAGTGTGGGGCCAGAGCACTCAGCTATCTAACTCCTCTGCAGCCCTCCTGTCGTCTCTGTTCATCCCTGACCCTCTCCCACTAATCCCTTCCCTTATAACTGCCTCCTCTGAGCAGATGGAGGGAGACATGCAGAGGCAACAGAGGGCCAAAAGTAACCCAATTTCTCCTTTCAGACTCAGACTTGGCAAATGGACTTGAGATCCTGCAGGCTGGATGGAGGTCCAGGACACAGAAATCATGGATGACCTGGCAGTGCAGGACAAAAGCCTTAACTTTCAAATTAAATCCTGGCCAAAGCCTAGCAACCATCCTCAGCATGGCCCAGTGCCCCAAGAACACCTGGAGCCTCCTGGATATAACTGTCCTGCTAGGTTATAAGCTGCTCAGGTGGCCTCGTAGAAAAGTCACACAAAGTAAGGTCACTGACACTAGACCTCAGTTCATTCCTACAGCAAACTGATGAAGTGGGCAGTGCTACCCCTGGTTACTGAGTTTAGAAAATGGAACTAACAAGACCTAATTTTGAGGGTTAACTGTCCCACTTCCCATATGTGTGACCATTGGTAAAGTACTTCTCTGGGGGAAAGAAATGCCAAGCTCCTTCATACTGCCCTGTTGTGGCTCACTGCAACTCACCAGGTCAAGGAAAGTCTTGGGGACAGAAGCTTCAGATTCTGAGAACTGTGGCTCCTTCAAGTGTTCAATGATCTCTGACTCCTGCAGGGACACATGACAGAGAAATACCCCCCAAATGTTCAGGGGTGCTATCCATGGAATTCCCAATAGGCCACGGGGCCAACATAGGACTGAGCCCAATCCAAAAGTCTACCAATTTTGAAAACTAACAGATATAAACACCTACACAAGAATGGGGCTATGTACTTATGCTGATAGTGGACAACCACCCCCCAAATCAGACCAGCAGGATTTAAACAGGAAAGGAGAGCTTAGAATAGTAGAGACAGGAAGCCAGCATTATAAACATTTGATGCTATCTGAAAAAATAAAGTATATCTTAATGTGTGTGCATACTCATGTGCATGCAGTGTGTGTGTGTGTGTGTGCGCGCGTGTCTTAGGTCAGGTGTTGCTCTTCATCATGTTCATCCACTTTGCTCTTTGCTTTGGGGGACAGAACCTTTCACTGGCCCAAAGCCCATCTGATCTGGCTAAGCTGGCTGGCCAGTGAGTTCAAGGGATCCATCTATCTCCCTCTCCCCAGAGCTGGAATTATACAATCCTCATCAGTACACCTGGCTTTTAAGATGGATTCTGGAGCTGGGCGGTGGTGGCACACGCCTTTAATCCCAGCACTCGGGAGGCAGAGGCTGGTGGATCTCTGAGTTTGAGACCAGCCTGGTCTACCAAGAGTTCTAGGACAGGCACCAAAGGAAACCCTGTCTCAAAAAACCAGAAGAAGAAGAAGAAGAAGAAGAAGAAGAAGAAGAAGAAGAAGAAGAAGAAGAAGAAGAAGAAGAAGAAGAAGAAGAAGAAGAAGAGCGATGGATTCTGGGGTCAAAGTCAGACCTTCATGTTGTTCAACAAGCACTTTCTGGACTAGGCCATCTTACCAGCTCTGGAAGTATCTATTCCAGGATAAAAGCTCTCTAAATGAATTTCCTCACTGGCTATATGGAGAAAGACTAAATGGTAGGAAAAGCTATCATGCCAAAGGTGCACTCTCTCTCTCTCCACACACACACACACACACACACACACACAGAGAGAGAGAGAGAGAGAGAGAGAGAGAGAGAGAGAGAGAGACCTACTTCTGACCACTTTGGTTATTGAAGAATCTATGAATGCAACCACTTGTATGTTTGGGGTTGGTACAATTGTCATAGAAATAGATGAGAAGAGTCATTCTGTAATCTGACCTACCTGTGTTGGTGCAGAACACTCAACTCCGGTAGTCTTTACCTCACCCCCATCCCAACACACACACACACACACACACACACACACACACACACACACACACACACACACACTTCTTTATAGGAACTCAGACTGCAGCAAACCAAGACAACATATAGGTGGGGAGAAGTAATGAGGAGAAATGAAGAGCATGAATATCCCAGGAGGTGTCAATGGAAAAGCACATTTCTGCTCTGAATTCCCAGTGCCAGCAGGTTTGCAGTTTCATTCAGGACTTTACTTCCCGCTGAGTCTGGGCATAGTTGTCACAATTAAGGGCTCTGGCTGATGTTGACAGCTGAATGCAGCTTCTGACTCAGTAATACAGACATGGAGGCAGGAAGTTGTAAGGAGCTGGAGACAGCAGCAGCGGGTTCCAGCTGACAACTGCCTTGGGACCAAGGGAATTACCTCACTGGCGTCCGATGTGCTCTCCTCCAGGGCAGAAGCTTCCTTGGGCTCCTTGGCTACACTCTCCCTCCTTTCGGAACCCTCCTCTCCGGCCTCCACTGCATCCTCTGCCTCCTCCTTTTTAGAGGCCTTAGCAGAATGATCCTCCCCAGGGTCCAACACAGGAGCCACTTCACTCATGGAATCCTTGGGATTGTTGTTCTCATTTTCTTTCTGTGGGTCCCAGGGACTTGCCCCCTTTCCCTGGGATCCACTGCCACCAGCACCAGCCAGACTACTGTCGCCACCCTGGCTGAATAGCTTGCCAGGAGTCGGGGGCCGATCGACATCTGAGTGGAGAGAAACATCTTTCTTGTCAACTGGCTGGCTGGATCTTGGAGACTCCTGAGAAACAAAGATAATGTCAGAGAGGAGTCAAAAAGTTTAGAGACTGACACAAGATGGGAGTGGCCATTCCTTGACTCTCAGGTGGACTTTGTGAGCTCTGACCCTGTTATCCTACACAGCTCTGTGTGTGTGTGTGTGTGTGTGTGTGTGTGTGTGTGTATGCGTGCGCGCCTTATACGTCTGTCTGCCTGTGCGTGTGTGTACACTTGCATATGGAAACCAAAGGTCAATGTCAGTTGTCTTCTTCGGTTGCTCTGAGGCATGGCCTCTCACTGAATCTGGAGCTCACTAACTTGGTCAGACTAACTGGCCACCATGTTCTAGGAAGTTACCTGTCTCTTTGCTACCAGCATTGGGGTTACAAATGTATACTGCCATACCTGGATTTTAAAAAGGGTGCTAGGGACCAGAACTCGTCCTCATGCTTGCACAGCGAGCACCTTACCCACTGAGCCATCTCCCTAGCCCTCCAAACAGCCTTTTTTTTTTTTTTAAAGCTTTAATTACATATGTATGTGTGGGCATGCATGCACATGTGAGTACAGATGTCTGTAGAAGCCAGAAGCATTGGATTCTACTGGGACTGGAATTATGGGCAGTTGTCAACTACCTAATATAGGCAGGCACAAGGAACCAAACTCCAGTCTTCTGCAAAAAGTAGAAGTATGTTTCTTGTTTGTTTGTTTTTTGTTTTTTGGTTTTTGAGACAGTTTTTCTCGTTGTAGCTTTGGAGCCTATCCTGACACTCGCTCTGTAGACCAGGCTGGCCTCGAACTCACAGAGATCCGCCTGCCTCTACCTCCCGAGTGCTGGGATTAAAGGCGTGTGCCACCAACGCCCAGCCTGAAGTATGTGTTCTTAACCACTGTGAGCTCTCTCTTCAGTTGCCCAGAAGCTTTGCAAAACACAGATTGCTGGCCCTTGACCCACATCCAGATAAACTGAATGGCAGTTTCTGGAATGGTATGGACACATTAAACTGGACTTAAAAATTAGTGCAACTCTGCCATCATCTGCCACATTCCCCAGCCCTGTCAGCTAAACTCTCAACCCTCAAGAGCCAATATTCACTCAAAACGATGACAGACACCCTGCAGGAGAAGAATAGCAAAGATCAGAACTTTTATTTTTCATTTTTCAAAGAAAGAAAGGGGGAAATACAACAAGGGTACTCCTCCCCGAGTTTCCCTACATAAGCTGATCACCAGCAACCCCAAAGACATCATCTTCTATCCAGGATACTCAACCTAGGGTCTCTGAGAAGCAGATGTCCAGATGGGATTAGCTGGGTAAGAGATGGGGCAGAGGCAGCAAAGGAGGAAAAACCTTCAGAAAAGACACAGGTCATCACCTGTGACAGAGAAAGAGGAGCACAGGACAGTTCTGAGCACACCTGAGCCAAGCAGAGTGCTCAAGCAGGCTGCTATCAGAGAAGTTCCACATCAGGCAGGAAGGAAGGGTCCTGTTCCCAAACTCCTAGTGAGATCTGTCATACTAGAAGGAAGTAGAATCTTAACATGAACTAGGAAAGACAAAAGGGCCAGTAGCTGGCAGCTGGCAATTTTCTAAACTCTGCTTTGGCTGGGTCTCCTGAAAGGAAAGCTGAGCTGCACACTTAACACGGTGACCACACCCTGTTTCACATACAAACTCACTCGTAAAAACCCAGGGCTGCTTCTGCTAAATTCTTCATAGAGCTGACCAAAATAGAAACAGAAAGCACTCCCTCAGAAATACAGCCAGTGATCTCTCCTGGGCTCAGACTCAGAGCCTCCTTCCAGAAAAACATCTGTATTGGCACTTAGACTGTCAGGCTGAACAACTCCTGATGAGGGATTTTTAAGATTCCCAATTCCCTACCCTGAAGATTAAAACAAGGAGCGTATTAAGTGCTATAGTTTGGGTCTAAGTGTCCTCCGAACATGCTCCCGCCATGATGGGCTGCCTCACCACAGACCTAAAAGAAGGGGCTAATCAGTCACAGCTTCACTTTCAAAACTGCTGGTAGATAGAAGCCTTTTCTTAATATGGCATAAGGTTTAGTTCACATATTTCATTATGGTAGTGGAAAGCCGAGCATCACAAGGCAAGTCAGCAGCTCGAAGGAGAAGGCCTCTACATGCTGCTGTCCTAGCGCAAGGTCTGTTGAAGCCAGTCTGGCAACTGACTGGAAGGAAGGAAGGCTCTCCTGTCCTCCTCCTTCAATATGGGGTTGCAACCTAGTCCTAAGAGGGTTACCTAGCAACAAACTGTGGACTGGGAGACAGACAGAGGAAGTATCAGACATCAGACAGCCCTTCCTGTCTTTTCTCACAGTTCATCCCCTCCTGCCTATGCTTGAACACTGCTATTTCTCTACTCTGCTATGCACACTCTCTTTAGTTTTTAGAGATGTCACATTTGACACATGCTAAGCCTGTGCTCTACTACCAAGCCACATATTCCTGACACAAACATTCCCCATTCCCTGACAAACAACCACTGGTCTTCACAGCATCACCTCTCCCAGGAAGCCTTCCTTGGTCTTTGGTCCCTGGACTCTGGGTCTCTGCCACAACAGCTATAATAGCTGTGGGCTTCTTTGTTTATTTTCCTTACTAGTTTCTGTTATATAGGATGTTCAAAGTCTTTTTGTTTTTTTGGATTTTCGAGACAGGGTTTCTCTGTGTAGCTTTGGAGCCTATCCTGGCACTCGCTCTGGAGACCAGGCTGGCCTCGAACTCACAGAGATCCGCCTGCCTCTGCCTCCCAAGTGCTGGGATTAAAAGCATGCGCCACCAACGCCCGGCTTCAAAGTCTTAACTAAGGTTGTTTTGGTTTTGGTTTTGAAGAATGCATGAATTGCTGGGCAATCCCAGCACACCAGAGGCAGAAATAGGTGGATCTCTGAGTTCAAAGCCAGCCTACTCTACAGAGAAAGTTCCAGGACAGCCAGAACTACTACACAGAGAAATCCTGTCTCCAAAAAAAAAAGTACTGTTGACAGACCTCATGTGGTGTAAGAGTTGAGGCTTTCCTTCTTCCAATCCCAAATGGAGATGTAATATTTATTTGCCAAAGTCACATGTGGATTAGACTATTTCATTACAGTGCTTATGAAATGAAATGTTAACTCTTAACTATTCAAAATGATGAAAAAGCAAGTAAGCCATAAAACTCAGAGGGTGGCCAGGTATGGTGGTACACATCTTTAATCCCAGCTCTCCAGAAACAGAAGCAGGCAAATCTCTGAATTCAAGGTCAATCTGGTCCATAACAAGCTCCAACCAGTCAAACCAACACTGTGAGACACTGCCTCAAAAAATAATTATTATTATTATTAAAAATGTTTAAACTCAAAGATATCAGTGGCTGGGGATGTAGCTCAGTAGTACAACAAGTGCCTAGTATACCTGAGACTGGGCTCTGTTCCCAATACAGAGGAGGCAAAAGGAGAGAATACCAGATATAGGTAGATTCTCATCCTTTTTTCTTTCTTAAAAAAAAAAAAAATAGGGGGGGGGGGATGCATGCCTTTAATCCCAGTACTTGGGAGGCAGAGGCAGGTGGATCTCTGTGAGTTCGAGACCAGCCTGGTCTACAGGACAGTTCCAGGACAGACTCCAAAGCTACAGAAAAACCCTGTCTTGAAAAAACAAACAAAAATAGCTGGGCTGGAGAGATGGCTCAGAGGTTAAGAGTACTAACTGCTCTTCCAAAGGATCCAGATTTAACTCCCAGCACATACATGATGGCTCACAACCATCTATAATAATGAGATCTGGTGCCCTCTTCTGGCATGCAGGCAGAACACTGTATATATAATAAATAAACCTTTTTTAAAAATTAGTTGTAGGTCTTATTTTTTATTTATTTTTATTATTAACAGATTTTGATTTATTCATGTGTGCATCTGTCTGTCTATCTGTGTGTCTCTGTGTGTATGACGTGTGTATGATTTGCCCATGGAAGCCAGAAGAGGACATAAGACTGACTGGAATTACAAACAGTTGTGAGCCACCTGATGTGGGTGATGGGAAGAATAGCAAGTACTCTTAACCAGTGAGCCAGCTCTCTGAGCCCCGAGATTCCCATAATTATACTGGAGAGAACACAACCTGACTACAAGATTCTTCAGCTTCATCTAGGCAACTCTCAAGCTTAAACCCTTCAAAAAATGAATTTCATTGTGGGACACAGCTCACTGGTAGAGTGTGCACCTAATAAGGCCCTAGCTTCCACCTTCAGCACCCCCCTCTTTCCCCAAAAAGGAAGATTTCCATGTGACTGGATGATCTCAATTTGCCTATCTAAACATAAAATTGATAAAATAAGGCAACCATTAGAATAAATGGCCTTAAAAATACAACAAATGACCTTGGTCTGCATCCACATCTACTGACTACATCCATAGGACAGCCAGAAATGCATGGAGAAAGCAGGGGAAATCAAACCCTGGCTGTCTATCATCTACAAAAAGATGCAGGAATCTAAGAATCTCATCTGACTCTACATTGTCCCTGTTCACCCAGCCCATCCTTGACTGTCCCCAGGCCTAGGTTCTGAAGCTCCCAGCCAGTATGCACACCCCAGACATCTCTGTACAGTCTCCTGCTCCAGGCTCTGTGGGTGCACAGCTCTGCTCTGGGCCTCTCCATGCTCAAACTCCCCAACCTCCTCCTGCCACAGTCTCAAGTCCTGCATTTCAAGGCATATTTCAAGATTTTGCCATCTGCACAAGGAGGGAGTGAAGAGGAGTGTCTGTCAGAACCAGTTCTTGAATATTTAACACTTTTCAAAAGTCATGAGGCTCCCCAGGTTGCAGTCCCACCCCCTCACCTGCCCCAGCACAAAGGCACTTGGGCTCCCATGATCCACACAGGATGGGGGTAGGGGAATCACAGGGCCTGAGGGGAGGTTATCCCGACAGCATGCCCATGCATTCATACTGTTCTGGGGAGACTCCTGCTAAGCCAACCATCGGTCAGAGTTGTTTTCCAGGTCTGGTGCCCATTCAGTTGGTCTCAGTTCTTTGCACAGCTCCTTAGCTGATGGCTTTTCATCAGCACCACATGACCACATAATGCCTACTCACCACCCTCTGCCTCCCCCTCTCCCTCAGAAGACTTCTTGGTGTGGGCTCCATGAACCTTTCCCTTTAGTCTGTATTAGTCCAGCAATGGGTTTAGGTTAGAAAGCAGAAATGGGAGTAGACACTGACAGGGATGCATTCTTGCCATCCTGCTGCCCTCTTGTGGAAGGAAGAGCAAAGTGACTGCTTAGTGACACAGGGCAGAATGAACCCAGGAAGAAGGGCTTCAGCTACAAAGGAAGCTAACTGCAAGACCTAGGTGTGTGTGTGGGGGGGGGGGAGACCAGGACAAAAGCCATTTCAAAGATCAGTGCCCAAGTGGAGGCAGCTTTGCCTGCCTAGAAGCCTTCACTGATCTCCACCACTAACATCTCACCCAAGGAAAAAAAAAAAAAAAAACCCTAATACCTACTGAGGTTAGGACATAGGACTACAACACCCCATGTGGCAGACAACTGAAGACAGGTAAGTGAGGTGTCTAAGCAGCGCCTATTCCAGATGTTTCCTACCTCACTGTGGTGCCAAGCAAGCTATTAAAATGTTTTAAAAGCTCCTGCTCCCCAAACCAGCAAGGGGAAAACTTCACAAGTCCATAACATGTCAAAGAAGAAAAATACCTTTCTTGGTTGACATCTGTAATCCATTAAGAAGTAATCATGATCAAGCTACAGTGGAATTTCAATCCACCAGCTGACTGCAAGGAACAAATACCTACTGTACCCAGAAATCGAGAAAGCCAAGGGAAGGAAAAAAACACCACCCAGACTGTCTGGATACCCTCCTCCATTCCATTCTCTCAGCTGTTAAACAAAAACACACCCAAGCACTTCCTGTGTCCTAGGGAGTGGGCTAGGTGCTGGGTGTAAAGACATAAATTTTGCAGCATCTACACCCTCACTGTGCTTGATCCCCTGGAAATCCCCCTCTTTCTCCAAACATACAAGCCTTCATGACCCCCCTTCTCCTAGGCACTGACATCCATCCAGGTGCAAACTGAGGACCTCCTGTGAGTCCACCAGTCAGCCAGCACTGGTTAACTAACGGTGGTTGAGAAGAAAGCAAAGTCCTCCTATAGAGAATCAAACAGACCTCTTTCCTCAGCAGACCCGCTCCACTCAGAAGGAACAGTTTCAAAGCAGACATGTATCAGATTGGAGATACAGATGGGGCAGTCGGGGAAAGTGCTACATTTGGCAGAAAGTGTTAAAGGCACAATCAAAACATAGCTGACTGTAAAGAACCAAAAGGCTGAACAGATCCTGGGATAATAAGCAAAGCTTTACTATATCAAATGGGTCCTCCCCCAAAGATAGAGTTTGATCCCCTTAAGAGATGCACCCACAGTGAGGTCTCAAGTACCATCCAGAACCTGTCAGCCAGCGTGTGGACTGAGACAGTACCCTGGCCTCCAAGCAGTGGTGAGTACCAAGAAATATGAGTCAGAAATAATAAGAGATTGGGCCAGTAAGACAGTTCATGGGTAAAGGCACTTGCTGCCAAGTTTGACAACCTGAATTTGATCCCCAGGAACCTCATGGAAGGAGAAAACTGATTCCTGAAAGTTGTCCTGCACCCTCCACATGTACTCTGTGACACACACACACACACACACACACACACACGCGCACGCGCGCACGCACGCACGCACGCACGCACGCGCGCACGCGCGCGCGCGCACTAACAAGCAAATAAATAAGTTAAAATGGAATTTAAAAAAAAATAATAAGGGAGATGTCTCAGAGGGTAAAAGTGCTTGCTGTGCAAGCATGAGCACCCATGGAAAAGTCAGGTGTGGCCACAGGAGGATCACTGGGACATGCTGCCTGTCAGTCTAGTGCCAGGCTCAGTGAGAGACCCTATGTTGAGGGAATGATTAGGCAGTAGGTGATAGAGCAGAATACCCAATGTCCATCTCTGGCCTCCATGTGCACTTGAGCATATGATCCAGAAAATATACATGTGCAACACACACACACACACACACACACACACACACACACACAAAGAATAGGGATAATTAAGAAACCAACTACAATTTGTGATGGGAGCACCTTTCCTCTTCTTGCCAGGTTTATGGTCATACTAATGATATAAAAGTGATTATGTCTTTAAGGTGTAGAAGGCACTAATGACAGCATAGTATATAAGGCCTGTATGAGGCTTAGACCTTTGGGTCAGTATTTAAATGTCTTCATGATTCTAATTTGCAACTTCATGATTCATTGCTTATAACAAATATTTGAGGAAAATTTAGAGAACTATTAATTGCTTAAAAATTAATAAATCAGGGGGTGAGAAGTAAAAAAAATTTTAAAAATTAATAAATCAGACACTAGACAGAGAATATACAATGGGAGGCATTCCTATAATTTCTACATCCAGGTTCCAAAACATGCACGAAAGGTTTGCGTATGATGACACAGTGACTTGTACTGCCTGTGTGCTCTCCATGAAAAACATGCTGGAGGCAACACAGGCCAGACTTCAGAGACAGGCGAGACTTTGGAAGCATGCTTCAAAAGCTGTTCCCACCCATATGCTTTTTTCCACCCTTAAATCTTTGCTCAGGCTCTTCATTTATCTAGACTATCCCCATCTAAAATTTAGCTTCTCTTCAAAACCCAGGGCAAATGTCATCTCTTCCACTGAGTCTGCCTGGTGTCTAGGCACGAAATCTCTTCCCCATGTAGTGTACAAGGAGGGGGGCCTTATGCATACACACCTCATTATGTTCAAAGCACCTGCTGGTGCAGGCACTTCACCAAGAACTAGTCTTGTGACAGCTGAGAGAATGGATTCCCTGAACCCAAGAAATCCTGGACAGACCCATGTGGCAGAATTATTTTCAGGTGTGTGACTTTTGTTTATGCTGCATTTGTTTAACTCTGTGAGGTTGCATTACTGTGCCTGTCTAAAACACCTGATGGTCCTAATGAAGAGCTGAATGGCCAATATGGAGGCAGGAACAAGGACAGGCAGGCTGGCCAGCAGAGAAGATAAACAGAAGGAGAAAGGTGGAAGAGAGGAATAGAGAGAGAATAAGGAGAGGAGGACGTCAGGGATGGACTAGCTGACCCATCAATCAGCCAGCCAGCCAGCCAGCCAGCCAGCCAGCCACGAAGAAAGAAGGAAAGTAAGAAATACAGAAGTAAGAAAGATAAAAGTCCAGAGGAAAAAGGTAGATGGGTTAATTTAAGATAAGAAAAGCTGGCTAGAAACAAGTCAAGCTAAGGTTGAGCATTTATAAGTAAGAATAAGATTCTGTGTGTGATTTATTTGGGAGCTGGGTGGGTGGTGGACCCCCTCAAAAAGACCAAAAAGCCAAAAGAGTAAAAAACATTTCAAACAACTGACCCAAATGGACCAGTTCTTTTTCCAAATATGCTCTGCAGACTGCAAAGTTTCACAAGGAACAAAGGTAAGCTCCAGTAGAAGCATTTACCATCAGGGTCCTCAGGCACTTACCTCATATTCAAAGTGACCTCCCAGGGCACCAAGGTCCAGATGCAGGTTCTTGAGAAGTTCACCGGAGCTTCGGACACTCTGCAAGCAAAGACAACTATGAGTGTTGTCTTAGCTGGGGTTTCTGTTGCTATGTTCTTGACCAAAAGCAAAGTTGGGAGGGAAGGATTTAGTCAGTTACTGAAGGAACTCAGGAAAGGGACTAGAAGCAAGAACCAATACAGAGGCCATGGAGGAGTGCTACTTACTAGCTTGCTCTTCCTGGCTCACTAAGCCTGCATTATTTATTTATTTATTTATTTATTTATTTGTGGTTTTCGAGACAAGGTTGCTCTGTGTCGCCCTGGCTATCCTGGCACTCGCTCTGGAGACCAGGCTGGCCTCGAACTCACAGAGATCCACCTGCCTCTGCCTCCCGAGTGCTGAGATTAAAGGCGTGTGCTACGACCCAACCGTTCAACCTGTATTCATATACAGCCCAGAACCAGAGATAGCACTACCCACAACATGCTGGGCACACATTAATCACTAATTAATAAAGTGCTTCACAGACTTGCTTACAGGCCAATCTTATGGAAGCATTTTCTCAATCAGGGTTCCCTCTTTTCAGATAACTCTAGCTTATGTCAAGTTAAAAAAAAAAAAGTGGTAAATCTAAATAAATTGGCCAGCCCAACATGAAGGGCATGCAGAGGAGAGTGGGGATGCCCTGGCAAGGCTTTAGAAGACTCCAGGGCAGGCCCTCCACTAAGGCCACTCTAAGTAGTCCTTTATCCAGAGAGCACAGGGCCAAGCAAGTATGTTGTGTTCTCCAGCTCAGACCTAAGAGGCATACACTGGTCAAGAAAGGAAGTTATGGGGGGGGGAACGCTTTTATTTATTTTTAAAATGGCTGGGAGGTTAGCCAAAGATAGAACTAATCCATGTATCCACCAACAGATGAGTGCATAAACAGAACATGGTGCATATACACAACAGGCTTCAAAATGAGTGTTTACATACTCGCTGCAACATACTGAGTGAAAAGGTGCCAGACATCAAAGAAAAACACTGTGTGATTTTACTCATATAAAACATCTAGAACTGGCAAACTCATGAGCCAAAAAAAAAAAAAAAAAAAAAAAAATAGATTTAGAGGTTACCGGGGCTGGAAGGAAAAGGAATGATTTACTGTTTGGCGACTAGACTCTGAAAATGGACAGTAGTGATGGTAACATACATTATGGAAAAAAAAAAAAAAACTAATATCCCTGAATTACTATATAGTTAAAATAAGTTTAAGTTTTACCTGTGTGTATGAGAGAAAGCTTCATGACAATTTAAATATATGTACACCCAGAGGGTTTCCAGGCCAGTAAGGGGACCTCACCATTACCTTGTTGTCACTCTCCTCCTCATCCTCCTCGTTGGTTTCTTCCCCTAAAGCCAAGAGGCTGAGAGCACGCCTGCCCTCGTGGGCAGAACCCAAGAAACCCTTTGCACAAGTAGCAGTCTTGAGTCCCTGTGGAGGCTCCAAAACACAAAGAGAACAAGAGACTTACCAAAAAGACCTTCAGAATGAGCCTGGCATGCTCCCTCAATTCATACCTAGATGGGCCCCCAATCAAGTCCCACTATGTTCATAAATCTGGAGTCTAATTCACACTGCTTACTCCCTTCCAACCCCCACTGCCCCAGCCCCACAGATGGGGAGATCAGCACAGGTGGCCTACAGCCCAGTCCACCCCCAGAAGAGTCACCAGAGTGACTCTTCTCAGACTAGCTGGAGAACTCTGAAGACACAGCTTGTGTCTCAGGGACAAGCCATGGTTCCCAGTATGACACCCAAAAGGTCCCACAGTAACAAAGTATATGCACAGCAGAAGCAAGACTCACCAGCATGGGTTCCCCAATCTGCACAGAATCTGCTGAGCTCCCCAGGCTCTGAGTGCCACGAAGAACAGAGGGTGGAGCATCCCCAAGGCCTCGTAAGGGAGCCAGGCTCCAAAGAGGGGCCTGGACTGGGGCTAAGGGGGAACCCAGGACCTGGGCAACAGAACACATCTTGTTACAAACCCCAGAAGCCACTTGGCTCTCAGGGTGTTGGAGGCAGATATAAAAATAAAGCATCTAAATCCTGCCTGTTCAAATTTAAACCGCCTCCGCTTGGAGGCTGCTGATGAAACACAACATCCAGAAATACCATGTGCCAACTGGGTGAGACTCGCAGACCAGTTTCCTGATTCTGGTAACTTGTGTGCTAGCTCACATCTGGCAGATGCTAACACTGGGGGCTCTGTTCTCCTTTTAGGAGCCACATAACAAGTGAACAGGATGGGGGAAGGGCAAAGATAAACCCCAGCTACTAGAAGTCCCCTACAGTTGATGCTTAAAACTGATGAGTCAAGAAAAAGCAGTCTCAGCTGGGCATTGGTGGCACACGCCTTTAATCCCAGCACTCGGGAGGCAGAGGCAGGTGGATCTCTGTGAGTTCGAGGCTAGCCTGGTCTCTAGAGCTACACAAAGAAACCCTGTCTTGAAAAACCAAAAAAAAAAAAAGAAAAAGAAAAAGAAAAAGAAAAGGCAGTCTCAGCATGTTACTGACAAAGATGGACATACACACCAGAAGAAAGTGTAGGCCTCCTTATAGGGCTATACACACCGAAGGCTGCTGTACATAAACAAGTGCCTTGTCATTCTCTTTGACTTGCTTTCCCCTGTTCTCAGGAGATCCAAGTGAAGGCTACCTTCATGCCAGTGAGGACTAGACTGAAAATCCAGGCTGGGTCCAAATGTGGGAACCCTCAGGCTTCTCACAGTCTCCCACATCCCCGGTTCCTTCATCTGTAAGATGAAGTGGGTCCATGCTTGACCCTACGGGGTCTGCTAAGAAACTCAAATGACATGATAGACACAGGGGCCTCTGTAAAGAGGCTAGGGTTATAGTAATATTATAGAATCGATCATCTGACCTTGCTCACTGGTTAAGATGGTCGGAAGCTCTTCAGAGGATCTGAGTTCATTCAAGTCCCCATAACCTACTTCAGGCAGCTCACACACAACTGCCTGCAACTCCAGTTCTGGACAATCTCTGACATCCTCTTCTGGCTTCCACAAACACTTGCACTCACACGACCACAAACACTGACACACTCACATGCACACAGTTAAAAAAAATAAAATCAGGGGGCCGGGCATTGGTAGCACATGCCTTTAATCCCAGGACTCGGGAGGCAGAGGCAGGTGGATCTCTGTGAGTTCGAGGCTAGCCTGGTCTCTAGAGCTACACAAAGAAACCCTGTCTTGAAAAACCAAAAAAAAAAAAAGAAAAAGAAAAAGAAAAAGAAAAGGCAGTCTCAGCATGTTACTGACAAAGATGGACATACACACCAGAAGAAAGTGTAGGCCTCCTTATAGGGCTATACACACCGAAGGCTGCTGTACATAAACAAGTGCCTTGTCATTCTCTTTGACTTGCTTTCCCCTGTTCTCAGGAGATCCAAGTGAAGGCTACCTTCATGCCAGTGAGGACTAGACTGAAAATCCAGGCTGGGTCCAAATGTGGGAACCCTCAGGCTTCTCACAGTCTCCCACATCCCCGGTTCCTTCATCTGTAAGATGAAGTGGGTCCATGCTTGACCCTACGGGGTCTGCTAAGAAACTCAAATGACATGATAGACACAGGGGCCTCTGTAAAGAGGCTAGGGTTATAGTAATATTATAGAATCGATCATCTGACCTTGCTCACTGGTTAAGATGGTCGGAAGCTCTTCAGAGGATCTGAGTTCATTCAAGTCCCCATAACCTACTTCAGGCAGCTCACACACAACTGCCTGCAACTCCAGTTCTGGACAATCTCTGACATCCTCTTCTGGCTTCCACAAACACTTGCACTCACACGACCACAAACACTGACACACTCACATGCACACAGTTAAAAAAAATAAAATCAGGGGGCCGGGCATTGGTAGCACATGCCTTTAATCCCAGGACTCGGGAGGCAGAGGCAGGTGGATCTCTGTGAGTTCGAAGCCAGCCTAGTCTCCAGAGCAAGTGCCAGGATAGGCTCCAAAGCTACAAGACAAAACCTGTCTCGAAAAACAAAAAGAGAGAAAGAGAGAGAGGGAGACAGAGAGAGAGAGATCAGGGGCTGGAGAGAAAAGGAGAGAAAGAGAGAGAGAGAGAGAGAGAGAGACAGAGAGAGAGAGATCAGGGGCTGGAGAGGTGGCTCAGTGGTTAAGAGCACTGGCTTCTCTTCCAAAGAACTGGGTTCAGTTCTCAGCATCCACATGGCAGCTCACCACTGTCTCTAACTCCAGTTCCAACACCCTCATACAAACATACATGCAAGCAAACACCAATGCACATGGAATAAAGTGTAAAAAAAAAAACAAAAAAACAGATCAGCATAGCATAGCATACTGAGGACACATTACAATACTCTTCAAAACTTTTCTCAAATTTACCATACATATAAAACAGGTAGTGGTGGAGCACACCTTTAGTCCCAGCACTCAGGAAGCAGAGGCAGACGTATCTCTGTGAGTTTGAGGCCAGCCTGGTCTACAGAGTGAGTTTCAGGACACTCGGGTCTACACAGAGAAACATGTCGAGAGAGAGAGAGAGAGAGAGAGAGAGAGAGAGAGAGAGACTCCACACTAACCCCCAAGAAAGGGGGATCCAAAGGTTACAGTCACCACCCTCTTGGCCAGTCTTGCCCATGCAAGTCTCAGCAGGGCCTATCTCTGCATGGAGAGGATGCCTGAGTCTTGGCTGAGAAATGAGATAAGATACTCCTTACCCCTGCAGATGACCAATCACCTGACCTATGCAGAACATCTTTGTCAGGGAGAAGAGATTCCGATACATAAAACTGGCCAGCAATGCTGAATACTAGGCCATGCTCATTCTCACATATCACCTAAGATGGGCTCTACCATTATGCAGAGACCCCAAATGAAGGTGAGTGTGGTCAAGAATCCTGTCCAAAGTCACAGGCTTAGTGGGTCAGAGTAGGGATTGAGTTCGGGCTTCTCTCAGAGAAAGAGTATTTCATATGGTCTTATGACTATGGTAGGAAGAAGTACAGGACGCTGAGTCTGCCCCACCTGCTTATCCCTTCCACCAGTCCAAGCATATCAGCAAGCAAAAGCCTTCACACACTGTATTTATAGAAAATTACAGACTCCTAAACATGGCTAATTTGCTAACGTGCTGGGGGCTTGAGGGAGGGAGACAGGCAATGCTGAGGCCTTTGTTCTCTTGGGCCTTTACTGAATCAGTGGTTAGCAGGGAAATTATACATCCCTGGCTCCTAGCTGATCATCATCTATAGATGGCCATTAACTCTGAGCATGGGGCTGTGCATGCCATTGTCCTTCAGAGCAGATAAACTTGATGCCATTGAGCTAATTAAAACTTTCAGGATAATCTGTGGCTTATCAGATATTTATAGTACTACACTAGTTATTAGAACTAACGGAGAACCAGTGTGTGTCGGCAATTAGGGACTAGAGGAAACGATTGGGTAAAGTCACAGTTGGGCCACAGAGGAACACCTAGGGAATTCAGATTGAACCCTGTGGTCCATCCAACATGATTTCTGAATGAAAAATGGGGTTACTCTTGAAAGGGACAAAGTGGAAGAATGACAAGGCAAGCCCCGCCCTTTGGAAAACCCTGATAGGGGAAGTGAAGTCACAAACAGGGTCCACACAACCTGACACAGGTTAGTCATGTTATTTTTCGGGGACCTGGAGGGCAAGGAGCAGAAGCAGCTGGCTGCATGGCAGCGGCAAGCTGAGGGCTTGGTCCTTCCAGAGAGCGCTAGTGTTGAGAACTCTGGTGCTGTGTGCCTCCAAGAAGGGAAAGTGCGAAGCTTTGGGGAAGAGTATCTACTCTGAAGGCTCTTCTCCAGAACCAGCTGGTAGGAAAGACTTCCCAAATCCCAGAAAGTTCCTGGATTCTAGATAAGGGCCTGCAATAGTACCACCTTGCCCACCCTCAGAAGAAATCACTTCAAAGCATGTGAACAACCCATGAGCATGGCTACACCTAGGGAAGAGAACCCACAGATACCCCCAGCTCTAGCCTGCAGGTGATGAAGTAGGACAAACTTGACATCCAGGTCATCTCATCAGGTGGCCACTTGGGAAGTTAAGGGATCCTCAGTTACTGAAGGTGGGTCAGCATCAAGAAAACAGACCTGAGAGCTTCGGGGCAACAGCAGTTCTACCTATTCCCTCCCTGATGAGCTCAGGAGCCCCAGACCTTAGGCCCCACTTTCTAAAAAGCCTACCTGGTTGAGAAGCTGCATCTTGCTCGGCTCTGCAGCAAGCCTGGTGTCGGAACTCTGCTGGACCAGCCCCTGTCTGAGGCCACTGCTTAGCTGGCACTGCGCTGGCTGAGAGGCCTCCTGCCCGGCAGAGGCAGAGACCACTTCTGGAGAATGTTCCAGCAGCTCTGGCCCCCAAGCCAGTAACCCCGAGTCCCTCTCCTGAGGTCTGATGGCCTTGTGTTCACCCTCACTAGACATCCTGGAAGACTCAACGGCCATGCAGCAGGCCATGCTGGCGATATCTTTGCATGGCATTTCCTGCATGTTCTCAGGCAGCTCTAGGCCCTCCGGCCGCCTGGAGATCTTGACCATCTGCAGGATGTGCTGGTAGAACCTCTGATCCTCAGAGTAGTCCTCACTCTCTGACTGCTCCTCAGCAGAGCTCTGTACCTGGGACAATTGGGGCACCAGGAAAGGGCAGAAATGCACATCTCTAGGCTCTGAGCCTGACTGACCCATGACAGGAACACACCCCTGGGAGCTCTGCACATCCCAGGGGAAGTTGTTTACCTCACCTAGGACCTGTGAGCCAAGGGGCGAGGCCAGGCTGCTGCCCCCTCCACTACTGCTATCTGAGTCAGCCCCGGGCACACTAGGCTTCCTGTCTTCATTGAGGAACTCTGGAGATGCAGGTGGATGGCACTTCCCTTTACTGGCAGGATCCTCTGGAGGGGGCTCGGGAACTGCTTCTGATGCCAAGGTATCAGGTGGCATCAGGGAGAGACCCTGTGGTGAATCTTCAGCTGAGGCCTCTGGAACCTTGGAAGTAGCAGGCTCCATTTCCTTGCAGCTCTCTGTGATGTCCTTGTTGACAAGCTTGGAGACCTGTCCTATCCATAGTCCTGGAGGCTCTCTCCTCCACCTCCCCCTGCCCAGGTCTCCACCTTCCCCAGGAACTCCCTGCCAGCTCAAGTCCTCTGCTGGGCTGCTCTCTAGTAAAAACAGCTTGCCTTTCCTGGCAGGCAGCGTGTGATCAGATGAACAAAGGGACAGGGAGGGTTCCTCCTCAGATGATCGCAAGGGAATGGGGCTCTGACCTTTGTCCCCTCCAGGGCCAGTGCAGCTCAGAGTGGCTATGCTGTGACTGTGCTGCTCCCCTTTCAACTGCAGGCCTTTGGAGGCTTCGGAAAGCTTAGAGTGGACAGGAGTCTGGCCCCTACATTCTAACACCTCCTGCCCATTCTGGAGAGGCTCAATCGTATGAGCACCCCCAGGACCAGGTTTCTGCTGCCTGGTCCTCAATCCCAGCTTTTCTATTTCAGGGTCTGAAAATCCCAGGTAGAACTTCTCTGTTGCTTTATGGGCTGACTCCAGACCCAGTGGGTCTCCTAACTCTGTCTTGCATTGAACCGGAGGCCTGCCTAAGATTTTCTCCACATCAGCAAAGATCTGGTGGGTCCGAGGAGCTTGGCCTTTGGAGAGTGGCTGCAGCTTGCCGGGAAGGGCACCCATGAGAGGCCATGGGGTGTCGCCCACCATGCACAGGCTCCTCCCTTTCTTAAAGGAGGCCTCACTTCTAGCCTGCACCTCTTGGTCTAGGTCCAGATCAGCAAGCCCAGGTGCTGGGAGAGGGGACAGGCCTCGGAGAAAGCAGGAAGAAGGCAGAAGTCCCTGCTCAGGCTGTGTTTCCTAGATGGGCATATAAACATGCAAAGAAAACAAGGACTGACCTTCTCATGGATTCTTGCTACCTCAGCCCAAGACCCAGAGCAGAAAACCACCCTCTTTAAGATAAAGCAGAAATAAGACAGAGAAGAAAGGCCAAAACTCCCTTAGACTAAACATATGCCCCTTTCTAGGTTCTAGCTCCCCCTATAGAGGAAAAACAACCATATTAACAGCCTATAAACCTTGCTCCATAGAGCCCTGGGAACTCTGTTCCTAGGGTGCTACCATAGTGTGAAGGCTACAATATGAGTGGCAGAAAAGAGAACCACAGCCCCTGGGAAACCAGAGTAGCCCTGTTTGTTTTGAAGCTAGCCTCTACAGAGCAGCTATATGAAGTCAGCACTTTACCTCTAGTCAAAGCCTGGAGACCACAGCCATGTGATTGGTCCCTAAGCTTCCTCTAACACTCAGGTTCATGACTGGTTCATTTTATAAAGCCGATCAAGGACTCCCAGAAATGTCCCGAGAGTAAGAGAAGAGAGGAAGCCTGGGAAACTCAGCCGGTCCCTTCTACCACCAGCATAGGTTTGCACTGCATAAAAGACACCCAGTCTCAGAATCTTGGGGCTACCAGAAGGCCTTAAGATAATCAACTATCCTCTACAAATATACTAACCAGCCAGCTGGGAGCACACATCTCCAGAGGTGCCAGACCACCTGAGCCTAGGAAGCCCATGAGCCACAGAGCTGACCACTGGACAAACTCAGGCTTGAGGTGCCTGGCCTGAGCCCTAAGAATCCCACTGAAGGATCCTTCCCTGAAACACAGAGGGGCCCTTTCTAACAAGGAGCTTCTGGGACTCAAACATACATACAGAGCCAAGTCTGTCATCCAAGCCTACCTTAAGCCAGGCTGGAGCCTGCCAGAAGCCAAAATATCATTTCAGATTATCCTGGGGGTGTCCACCTTCTGCTTTTCAAATACATGATGGTATTAGAAAATTCTACAGTTCTATTTAGAAAGCACCTGTCTTCATTATTCTGTAGGAACAAGCTTCTCACCCTCTTTCTCAGAACTGTGCATAAAGCTGGGAGGAGGCAAGGGGATACAGAGCAGCAACAGAACCTGAACGTGATGAAGGACTGAATGACTTAACAACTGTTCAAAGCCAGAACTGACACTTTAGGGAAGAAGAAAATGGGGCTGGAGATGTGGCTCACTGGTAAAACACCTGCCTAGTATGTGTGTGGCCCTAGAAATCCTCAACACTGGGGGCAGGAGGATCACAAAATCAAAAGCACAAAACAACTAGACCATGGACAGTTGAAAGAGTCTTCCCCACCATACTCCCCACAATCCTCCCTCAGTGCTCCTCACAGGGTTGAACCAAGCTGTTTCCTCAGGCTGCCAGCCCCACACCTGCATGAAGGGGATAAAGTCTGTCCTGAAACACAGGCTCTCACTCAACTCCTCCTGAAGCTAGGATGATAACCTCCACCTCCTACGTCCCATGCTGAGCTACAAATAAATACTGGGTGTGCACGCCTTTAATCCCAGCACTTGGGAGGCAGAGGCAGAGGTAGGAGGAGCTCTGTGAGTTTGAGGCCAGCCTGGTCTGCAGAGCGAGTGCCAGGATAGGCTCCAAAGCTACACAGAGAAACCCTGTCTCGAAAAAAAAAAAAAAAAAAATACTGGGCAGAGCCCTCTGAACTCAGCACAAAAGCTACTGGAGACCACACTGAGTATGATGTGGTTTAACTGCTGCTACCCTCCGATAGCCAAGGATGCTGGCCACAAAGACCACTGATGATGTCAGTAAAGCCGATGGCATGTATGGATCAGTTACAGACTGACCTCAAAATCATGACCCTCCAGCCTCACTCAGCCTTCCAAGTACTAGGATTGCAGGCATGCATCACCAAGCTCAATTTTTCTTTTAAAACCTGAAGGCACTGACAGAAAATTCCACTGTTTCTACCTCCCTGTTTCCAGAGTGGGGAACAACACTACTCCTTCGTCAAATGAAAACACAGTCCTTGCTCTGGCTGAGCTCATACTGTCACTAACCCTGCCATGTAACATGTGCTCCCCAAGGAGACAGAAGAAATTACTTAAAGACATAACATCTGATAGAAGCTGAAAGAAAAAATCCACCAGGTAATATTAGACAATGTCCTGTCAAGAATTCACTATTGTTTTAACTCCTGGAGGGTCCCCACACCCTTTGGGCTACAGCCCTGTGTAGGAGCTGGCCTCAAGACTGACTCACCAGAGGACTCTTGGAGATCTCTTTGTCCTTCTTGTTTTTCTTTTCCTTTTTCTTTTTCTTGTCTTTCTTCTTAATGGCCCCTGGAGCCAACCACTTCTCCCGCTCTTGGATCACCAGCTTCCGATAATGTTCATCACATGGATGGTCCCAAATGGACTGCCCAGTGTCAAAGTTGAAATAGTAAAGATCACCCGTGATGTTCTGGCTAGGAGTGAGCAGAGCTCAGAGGTTAGTCCCTTCTAAGGTCCAACAAAAACAATTCTTTAAAAAAGAACAAATACTGAAATATATAAAATCACTTATAGCAATGGATAGTTTTTTCTTTCTTTCTTTTTTTTTTTTTTTTTTTTTTTTTGGTTTTTTGAGACAGGGTTTCTCTGTGGCTTTGGAGGCTGTCCTGGAACTAGCTCTTGTAGACCAGGCTGGTCTCAAACTCATAGTGATCCATCTGCCTCTGCCTCTGCCTCCTGAGGACTGGGACTAAAGGCATGTGCCACCACTGCCTGGCTGGATAGGTTTTTGGTTTTTTTTTAAGGGCTGTCCTGGAACTAGCTCTTGTAGACCAGGCTGGTCTCAAACTCATAGTGATCCATCTGCCTCTGCCTCTGCCTCCTGAGGACTGGGACTAAAGGCATGTGCCACCACTGCCTGGCTGGATAGGTTTTTTGGTTTTTTTTTAAGATTTATTTATTTATTTATCATGTATACAGTGCACACCAGAAGAGGGAGCCAGATCACATTACAGATGGTTGTGAGCCACCATGTGGTTGCTGGGAATTGAACTCAGAACCTCTGGAAGAACAGTCAGTGCTCTTAACCCCTGAGCCATCTCTCCAGCCCCCGGATAGTTATTTCTTAAAGTGTGCTAAACATCAAGTTTGACACTGAAAAATAAACAAATAAGGAACTGAAAAATAAGTCTAGGAAATTATCCAGAACACAACATGGGAGATAAGATGGTATTTGTAAATATGAGAAATAAGCTAGACATGGAAGATAAAATATGAACATTCAATGCTGCAATAGCAGCTTTTTCTTTTCTTTCTCAAGCAACAAACTTCTGAAAGATTACTCAAGGAAAAGAGATACCTAAAAAATAAACTAATTGATTTTTTTTTCTTAATGGGGCTGGAGAGATGGCTGAGCAACAGCACTGGCTGCTCTTCCAAAGGACCAGGTTTGATTCCCAGCACCTACCTGGTAGCTCACAATAGTTTGTAACTCTAGTTTCAAAGGATCTAACACCCTATTCTGACCTCTATACGCAAAAAATAAATAAATAAATAAACTACCAAAACTCATTCACAAAGAATTAACCAGGGATGAGGATATAGCTCAGTTGGTAGAATGCTTGCCTAGAATGCAGGAAGCCTGGGGTTCAAACCCCCACACTGCATAACCATCAACATAGTGTAAAGTCATTAAACTGGGGCTGGAGAGGTAAATCAGTGATTAAGAGCACTTGCCACCCTTACAGAAGATCAGAGCTCAATTCCCAGCACCCACACAGCAGCTCATAACTGCTTGTAACTCCAGTTCCAGACTCTTAACACCCTCTTCTGACCTTCTCAGGTACCTGCATTCATGCTGTACATAGAGACAAGCGGGCACACACATATGCATGCAAATAATTTTGAATTATGTTTCTGTCTATGCACAGTATTTGAATGGGAACTTCCTGCTCTGAGACAGCAGAGGTGGCCCACCCCTCTAATCTCGGCACTCAGGTTGTGGAACTTGGAGGACCTAAAGTTCAAGGTGATCATCTCTTTCAATTTGAGGCCCGCCTAGTTTACAAAGTCAGTCATGGGCTACATGGAGGGGGCTCTGACTCAAAGGACAAAGCAAAGAACTGAACGTTCTATATCTCATGGGGGCAAGGATGAGAGAGGGTTTCATTAAGGAGTCCTGGCTAGACTAGAACCACCTATGCAGACCAGCCTGGGTTGGCCTTGAACTTACAGCAATCCTCCCGCCTTTCCTTTGGCTTTTGTGTACTTATTCACATACAGCTTTCTCTTTTTAGAACTGGATTTGAAGTTAAAACTTTTCCCGCAAAGAAAATTCTAGGCCCACATGCTTGCAGTGTAAATTCTATCAAATATTTAAAGCAGAAATGACAGCAATGCTACACAAACTTGTCCACAAACCTGAAGAGGAAGAAATTCTCATTCTATGAGGACAATAACATGGTGCAAAACAAGATAAAGACATTAGGAGGAAATGGTACTATAGATCAGTTTCCCCCATGGACACAGATGCAATAACACTTCATGCAATTTTAGAAGATCAAGTCCCATAAAATATAAAGAGGATCATACATCATGACCAAGTGGAGTTACCCCAGGAATATGTAATTTGGTTTAACGTTTGAAAATCGGGGTCAGACAGATGGCTCAGCTGGTGAAGGTGCTTATGGCCAATCCTTAGGACCTGAGTTCCCTTCCAGGATCCCACATCGTAGAAAGATAGGATCAACTCCCATAAGCTGTCCTCTGACACCCATACTTACAAGTGCTGTGGCATGCCCACACCCCCCCCACACACACACACATACAAATAATAAATAAATAAATGCAATTGAAATTAATTGATAAAAAATATCTGAAAATCAATCAATAAATTTGGCTATAAGACTAAAGAGAATACCACCTAATCTAATCAACAGATGTAGAAAAGCACTGGGTAAAATCCATCCATCTTTCTTTAAAGTCCCAGCAACAGCACAAACTCTCCTGACAAAGGTCATCCCCAGGAAGCCCACAGCCAGCAGCTACCAAAAGTTTTCACCCTAAGATGAGGAACAAAGCAAAGACATCCTCCAGCATTGCCTCTACTTAAAGATGCTGAAGGCTCTGGTCACCGAGGTACAAAATAGAAAGAAAAGGCAATCAGATTAGAACTGTCCTAGGAGACACAATCACTTCTGTAGAAAATCCTATGGAATCTTAAAAAAATAAATAAATAAGGCTACTAGGCCTGACATAATTGATTTTAGCAAGGTTGTACAGTGCAAGATCAATATACAGAAACCAATTTTACTTCTCTATAAAAGCAGCCAACAATTGGAAACTAAAAATACAGCACTTACAGAAGCATCAAATATGAGCTACTTAGAGGTAAATCTGATAAAGAGAGGCAACACATGTACACAAAAGCTATTAAACATTTCTTAGAGATATTAAAGGAAACCTAAATAAATGGAAACAGACCATGTTCATGGGCTGGAAGGTTCAATATCATTTAAGATGCCTATTATCCCCAAATTGATTTATGTGCAGTCAAAATCAAAACAGTAAAGTGACAGGATAATGTTCAAATTCACATGGCGATGCAAAGAACTGAGAGACTTTGAACATAGGGACAAGGAGCTGGAGAGGTGGCTCAGCATTAAGAGCCCTGGTGCTCTTGCAGAGGACCCAGGTTCAATTCCCAACATCCACATGGCAATTCACAGCCATCTGTAACTCTAGTTACAAGGGATCCAAATCCCTCTTCTAGCTTCTCAGGCACCAAGCATGCATGTGGTACACAGACATATATGCATGCAAAATGCCCACAGACATTAAAATAATTAATAATAACACCAAAAAGAAAATAGGAACAAGGTTGGAATACCTACCCTAAAAGATTTCAAGACTCATTATACAGCCGTGTGATCAAGAGAGAACAGCACAAAACATGAGTACATCAATGGCGGACAGCAGGGAATACAGAAACTGATTTTTTTCTTAGTGTCTATGGGTATGTTTGTCTGTGCACCACATTTGTGACTGGCCCTTGGAGACCAGAGGGAACATGTAACTAGAGTTAAAGGCTGTTGTGAGTCACCATGTGGGTGCTGGGAATTAAACCTGAGTCTTCTGAAAGAGCAGCCAGTGCACTTAACCACCCTGACACATCTCTAGCCCCAGAAAGACTCTCTTATGCATGGTTAGTCTCAAAAACATCTAAATGTTCTTCAGTATAAGAGTTAATTTTTTGTTTTTTGGGTTTTTTGTTTTTGTTTTTCTGGGTTTGTTTTGTTTTTGTTTTAGAATATGGTACACCTAAAGTGGGGACATAGTTCAGTTGGAGAGTGATTTGGTAGCATACACGAGGTTCTGTGTTCCAGACTCATTAACACATACACACATAAAATGTGTTATGTCTAATATGGGAAAGTATACACTTGAAGAAGATAAAAAGGTAATGATTAGTTAGTAAACATCAATTTGCCACAACCTAAAATCACCCAGGAATGGTCTCAATTGAGGTATTTTCTCTATCTGGTTGGGCTATAGGCATGTCTGTGGGGGACTGTCTTATTAACGGACTCAGCCCATTGTGAGTATCAGTCCCTGATTTGGGGCTGTGGATTGTGTAGAGAAGAGTACAACATGGTAAGGCATGCCTTTAATCCCAGCACTCCAGAGACAGAGGCTGGGAGTTCATGGCCAGTCTGGTGTGCACAGTGAGTTCTAGACCAGCCAGGATTACACACTGAGACCCTGTCTCAAAGCAAACAACAGCAGAGAAAATGGCCGGTTAGTGAGCCATACAGGCACAACCCTTTCTCTCTGTGCTTGACCACAGATTTGATGTGACCAGCTGCCTCAAGCTCTTGCCACTGAACTTCTCAACACGATGGACTGTGAGCTAGAACTGTAAACTAAAGTAAAACTCTCCCTCCCCTAAGCTGCTTAAGGTGTTGTATAGCAACAACAAAAATGAAATTATAATAATCAGGCAAACCAAGTGTGATGGCCCATGCCTGTCATCCCAACATTCAGAAGGCTGAGGAAGGAGGATTACAAGTTCACAGCCATCTTAGGCTACATAGTAAAACCTTGTCTTAAAAAGCCACCAGTTATAGTGGTGCACACCTGTAATCCCAGCACATGCAAGAGGATCAGGAGTTCTGGGTCATCCTTGGCTACAGAATAAGGTGAAGACCAACCTGAGACCCATGACACCTTATCTCAGAAGGAAAAAAAATGAGACACGGTAGTACATACCTGTAATCCAAGCACTCGGAGGACTGAGGCAGAAGGATCACAAGTTTAAGGCCATCCTGAGCTACATAATAAGACTGTCTCAAAAGGAAAGAAAAAAAAGAAAAAAGAAATGAGATAGACCTACACATTACACTGACAGAATAACAGTGCACACAATGTAACAGTTATGATTAAAACAATAAAACCACAAGTGGCATGTGTGTATGTG